AACTACATACGAAGTGAAAACGATTTGTATTTCGCAAATCAAAGTGATAGTTAAAGCAACCAAACTGTGTCAGAAATGTTCCCAAATTACTAGGTAAGGCTTTTATCAGCTCATCATCTGATCCAATAATTTTAATTGTGGCATTTCATTCGGCATGTCGCCGCACGACTTCTATGATACTCAAAGTCTCACATATATAATTTGAAAGGGGGGGTCTGGGGGGGGCGGCGCCCCCTCAGCAGGTAGCTTTTGCTACTTGTTTTTAATTTTTTACGTTCTGTCTGTCCGGTAAACCTGTCCTTATAGGAAACCCGATGTTAACGGAAACATTTCTCCGATCTGTGAGATTCCATTATGAACAGGTTTCACTGTACTTCTAATCTTTAGGATTTTTAGCTCCTTTTTCTACCTTTTCTCTGCACAAGCTGTCTGCTCAAAGCAAAGCAAAGGATCACTCAAAAGATTTTTGGTATGCAGGTAACTTCAAAGCTAACTTTCCACAGGAGTGCGGAAGAAAATTTTCTAACAACCCAGAGAACTTTTCTTCTTTTCATGAATTTTTGACCAAAAGTGAATAGTACTTACTAGCTTAAAATTGACACATTTTTTAAGTGGCCTCAATTTTGCAAATGAAGTGAGTAGTTTGCGCTGAGATAAATTTGACACTTCACAAGCTGCCTTGTGTTTTTCTTTCTCTATTAATTTGTTTTTATATATTATTATTTTATCTCCAAATTTATATTATTTCATCGAGTTGATTCTTAATAAATTGATTTAGAAGGCATAAAGTATTAAAAGAATCCTGATGATTTACTAAAAATAGGTACTAAAAAAATTACGAGATCTGCCAAAATAAATTAGGAAAATTCAGCCATTGCCTATTTAAAAAAGCAATGTGCAAAACTTGCCAAAAAATTGGGATTAATTAATCTTTTGTATGTATGTTTCAGGGTAAACCTGTCAGCCAAGACAAATTCATTCCAAAAATGTTCCTTCGAGGTGACTCGGTGATTCTAGTTGTAAGGAATCCTAACTTAACAGCAGCCTAAAATCTCAAAATCTCTCAGCTACCTCATACCACTAACTATTAATGCATTTGACTTCTATGATCCTCAAGTTATGCCATAAGATTATTGCACCTAATCATTCTCTTTTACACGAGTCTCAATATCTTTATATTTTCTCCAATCTTTTTTAATCATCCTCTTTGTATCAGGTTCTTTCTCTTTCTTCGTGATTCAGGAGTAATCAGTTCTTCTTTTATGAGAATTCAAGGCACAAATTTCTGTAAACTGTATAATTAATTTTTTAAAAATGAATAAAGCTGAAAAGGATAACAGTATTTTATAGTCAAGATTAATTTTTGTCCTCCTTCTCTTTAGCATCATCTCTTTTATCAACAGATTTGTATTGCTTGAGAATTTAATAGATTCTTTTTCAATTCAGGGAAATATGTAATTTATTTTTTTTTACACATTATAATTGAATCGGGACATGCGAAAATCGCTATTGTCCATTTTTCCAGTCTTCAGTTTTTTTGAGTCATAATACTTTCAAAGAGTTGATACAACCATAAAAGTGATGAAAGGACTCGTTTAGGGATTAAATTTACCTGGAGACGTGTATTTACGCCACTTAGGTGTTTGCATCCAACCCCAAAAAATGTTATCAACTCATAAAACTGGACAAAGACTGGAAAAATGGACACTAGCGGTTTCTGCACATCTTGATCCAATTTTCTTAAATACACTGAATAGAATTCCTATAAGAGTGGAGAACTTCCAATTTAAGGCCTCAATGAATTAATAATTTAAATAAATCTGAAGAATTTATGAGTTATGCATGACTGGGCATGGGGAAAGGAGACTTAAAATGAAAAAAAAGTATATTTGAGATTAGTACACCACTGCCTAAAGAGGTTAATACTGTACCATTTGCCGGATAAAAACATCCTGGAATTGACTTCCCTGAAATGTTTCAGAATTAAAAGTTGAAAAACTGTAATTTGGAGAAAAACGGAAGACGGTGCCAGCTTCGGACTCACTTCATTTCAAATGATTCTTACTCCGTTCATAATGCAAATTTTGACGTAACAACCTTGACAGTTCTAGAAATTTATTTTCATCAAAAACATAGTATCGATAATATCTATCTGACATGTATCTTTTAGTTCTCCCTAAAAATTTACTCTATTTTTTTAAGTCCCCTTTTCCTATACCTGATCACACATGATTCATTCAATTAATTGATTGGTTTATCATTTCCTCAATATACATATACATTCATAGGTATGATAGGCAAAATTAATTAATTATTGTGCTTAACATTTCCATGAATGATCAACTTTCCCAGATGATAAAATTGGAGCACCATTTGATGACTTGATTTGAGATGTCAACTGTTTACCATCAAGATAAACATTAGAAGAAAACTTTATGTGGTCACATTAACAATTTTGTTTTCATGTTATTTTTATCTACTCTCATCATATTTACACGCCCATGGTAAACTTAATCAGACTGATCATGAGCTCCAATTTGATCTCTGGAAAGCATAGAATATAAGCCCTCTAGCAGTTGAACTAGGAATTGGCTTCTTGCCGTAGCAAGATTATTGCATAACATTATTTTGTTATAGCTGCTACGAGGAGAGTTATTTTTCGTAGAACTGAGGAGAGGACAGCCTAGTGCTGGAAAAATAAAAGTGTGAAGTTTATTTGAACAAACTTACATTTTATGGAAAAGCAAGTCAATGACTAAAGCTTTTCAATATCACAGCGCCAGCATTAGGATCCAAACCCAAGAAAATACATAGCACATAATTTCATGCAAAATTAGGTGCTCCTATTTTACCCTCTTAGAATGTTCTACCAATTTAAGTAATTTTTTATGTAAAATTGCCTCAGAATCGCAATGAGTGCATTAGCTGAGTCTACACTTTTTTTCTCATGCCATTCTTTATATGAAAAATTATTTACTATTTTAGGCTGTTTAAAAATGTCTATTAGAACAAGATCTAATTAACGGCAGACAAGTTACTCTGAGTTTTGAGTGAAACTCAACATACCTGGCAGCTTTTTTAGTAAAGCCAAACCACACAACGAGTATCTCTTATGAAACATTACAATTAAAAAAAGAGATGCAAGATTGTCTTATCATTGGGATTTCTCTAGGAGCCGCATTAAAAGATGATGGCGACAACTTTGAATTTTACAGGAAATTTGTAGCGCCTTCTTCATATTAACCTAGATATTTGTCAAGAATATTTTATGGAAAGAAAAACTAGGAATGCTCATTAAAGGCAGAGAATTGTCCTTTCAGGCGAGTGCAACAGGAAAAGTTTGCAACTATCTCATTCAAAACTTTTGCAATAAAATTAGGGACGGATTGTTCCTAATGGTTTCAAGCAAGAATGCATCAGATTCAAAAAATGACATATAATCACTAAATCAAAATTTAAAATGTACATAAACACCTTAGTAATGAGGACAGTAGAGTCATGCACTATGCTTACGTAAAGGTTCTACACTCTGTTCAGAGATATGACCACTCCCTGTGGTAGAACTTATTGACAGGTTGCTGTATTAGAGTGAAAAAAATTATGTTCGAAAATGCACACTAGATAATGCTGTAACACATGATATTTGTAAACTGAATAGGACTGCAGCAGCCTGATTGTTGAAATTTTGTGTTTGTCGGGTGGGTATGGATGACATAGGTTAAATGATGAAGCGTGATTGGTTGGCTGTGTCTTATTGCTGCTTTGTCGATTGGAATGGACAACATACTGTCGAAAACTCAAGAGGTGCCTTTAGTTTGTCGTCCATTCCAATCGACAAAGCAGTGATAAGACATAGCCAACCAATCTTGCTTCACCACATGACCTCTGTCATCCATGTCCACCCGACAAACACAAAATTTCAACAATCAGGCTGCAGACCATAATATACCTAATCTGAAACAAGCGCACTTGAAACCTATATACTGTTCTCATTTCTTGCATCATATTAACGCAACATTCTGTAACTTGTTGGTGCACCTTTGAGTCTAAAAACACATGGAGGTAAAAGGTAAAAGGACACTACATTTCATATTTACACAAAAACTTTATTTCACAAAAAATGTTTGTTAGGCAGGCTTTCATCCTAGAGACAGAAAAATTCAATGTTAGTCTACTTAAAAAGTTCTGAAAATTCACAGTTTGGACTTGGTGCTATGAGACTGGAAATCAATCACAGCAGTTCCTAGAGGGTACAAACTATGACTTGCCTTGAATTGTGTGATATTTACAATACGTTCTGCAGTGCTGGGCTTAAGTTCGGTTTCTTCAATTGCTTCTGGTCCTTTATCAACAGAGGATACAATGTGTATGGAAAGTTTATGCCTGTTTGGAGAATTTTCCTCGAACTGACTGAAAAATTCCACAACGTCTTGCTTGGTCAATGTGCGCAACATAGCAACATCTGTATTACGCCTATCAAAATTATACTCTTGAATCATGATCTCACACCAAAATCTAGAGGAGAGTTCTGATAAACTTTTTGGTTTCTCAAGTTTAGAGACAGCCAAAGCCTCTACATGAGTTTTGAATTCCTCTTCATCCATATTTTCAAGAGTTGACTTCATGGTTTTTAGAAACGCTTCTACTCGTTCATTTAAGTACATCGGATGTCTGGTAGACTGAACTATGATTCTGAAGCCTTGAACACCATTAGTTCGACGAACACCAGTGAACACAATGTAACCAAGTTGTTCTTTGGTGCGGAGTATATCAGAAGCAGGTTCTTGTAAGATGTGTGCCACTAGATCCAGCAGGACATTGTTTCTTGTTGTCTGGACACCGGTCTGGAAATATGTTTCAATGCAACCACTTTTGTGGAGCGTATGTTCAGCTTCATAAATTAAATCGGAAGCATCGGCCAGCTGCACTTCTCTGACGAGAAGCCGCTGCCGCGGCAGTAATGGTCATATGGGCTCATACTGCTTTAAATGTTTCTCAACAATGGAACTCATATTGAGAGCAGTTTTTTCAAGTACATTTCCATGGACAAGGCACTCTATATATAGGTTTGAAAAAAACTGAGGAATAAATTTCTCTAGACTCTCCACAGTCAAGAAATCAGTTGCAGCTAGAAGTTCTTCCTTAATCCATTGCTGTTCTGATAGGAGAGCTGACAAGTAATATTCAGCATGCTGATACGGCTGTTCAGCCTTGAAATTTTTCAATTTTCGGATGTGGTTCTCTTTCAGAATTTCGAATCTCTGTTTGTCGATTTTCAAAGACACCAACCTTTGCATAATTTCATCAAGAAATGCTTCCTGTTTATGATTGTACCCTCCAATAGACAGAACTATTCCATACTTAGTGTTCCCCATTTCCCATTTGAGTCCTGCCAGTTCTGCCGTATACGAAAACTCCGTTAATGCATCTTTGAAGAGACACACAAACAGATGGGTTTTGTTAGCTGAAGCTGGATCCAAGTAGGCTAACGGACTCATAAATTCAAAAGTGACTATTGCTTTTGGCAGTAAGAATTCATCATCCTGTTTGTGCCAAACCCGCATCAAGTCCTCTTTGCGAACGACTTGTGGGAATTGTGAGACAGAATCACTGGACGGAAGGACGTCAAAATCAGTCGCTATTAAGTCATTTTTTTCTGGAAGTTGTAACTCATCACACAAATCAACTGATTCCCATGCTTTAATTTGCTCTGTTGGGATTTTTTCAAGTTTGTATTTTATCTCATACCATTTTTCTGTTTCGCTTGCAACATTTTCAAACTTCTTGCCAACAACGATTATCCTCACCTTTGAGGGGCAAAGATGCCCCAATATATGCTCTATTTGATCAGGATCCCACTTTGGTGATAGGTAAGCTCCACTTAAAGTTTGGTTTAATGGGTAGCGATGCAAAAAGCTGACAATACTTGTGACATAATTTCTTGGAGACTCCTTATCTTTGAACTGAAAATGCATTTTTGCCAGAAGTTCATTCTCATCATGAATCCATTTTTGAGGCCCCTCTTTTTTCAGTAACTTTATATATTGGAAGACTAATGTTACAATATCATCAATATGCTCGATACCTTCTTCTGTCAGATCAACATTCACAGAAAAGAATGAGAAACCTTTAGCACCAGATCGACATCCAGCTACAAGACTGTTGCACCAACCTCGCCTCCTTAGGGCTGACAGGAGACTACCAGACCCTTCATGACCAAGCAGATGGCTTAAATATTGGTCAGGCTGAAAAACAAGAGAGAGAAAAGTGTTTATAATGCACCATTTACAGAAGAAGTGGAGACTTTCAAAACCTAGGCTACACTTATATCAGTTTAAGTGTATTCTCCGAAGAAAATTCACTGTTGCATTCTCCCGTGATGTCAGACCCAGACCTGGGACCTTGTGGAGAGCACCAATCACGCATCGTAGATCACGAATATATAAGCCATTCAAATTCATGGTATATACATATATGTATGTATGTATTTCCGCCTTTTAAAGATTTTTCGATTTTTGAGAAGTTATATCTTTCTTACGTTGAAAGATATTTTGACCAATTTTTTGCATTTAGTAGAGACTCATTAGAACAACTATTCTGCAAAAAAAAAAAAAAAAAAAAAAAATTGAAATTTGAAGCAATAGATTTTGAGAGGTGGGGCTTGAAGGTGGGGGGAGGTCAAATCTTGTCCACTTGATAACTCAAGCGAAAATGAATATTTTGAGCTGAAATTCTTATGGGTGATAGTTCTCCCCTAGAACTGGTTTGATGTTGAATTTGAGCTAAATCGGCCGAGCCGTTTAAAAATTGCGAGGTTTGAAAGTTTTAGGCAGGGGGTGTGCGGCATGAGGGGAGCCGGCCGGAGCAGGGCTGCACAAAGGGTCAGGGGAAGAAAGTTTTTGGACAAGCTGATCATTGCACGGTGGGTCAGGGGGAAGAAGTTTTTGGACAAAGCGTTTGTCGCACAGTGGGTCAGGGGGAGGAAGTTTTTGGATAAAATTTTCGTCGCACAGTGCGTCAGGGGAATGAAGATTTTTTATTTTGACTCTCATGAAGAAAAATTAAGCCTAGAAAAACGGGATTTCCCAATAAGAATAAATAGCAAGTTGAATTTCAGCTGTATCGTGCCAGTACACGGAAAAAGTTAAATTGCTGATTTAACAATTTTGTAGTAAAGAAAAGTGACTGCAATTTTTCAAAGTAGATTTTACAATAACAAAATGCTAATTTAACCACTCCCGTGGTTAAATTAGCTTCCCACTCTTGTAAAATGTACATTTGAAACATCCCAGTCACTTTTGTAACAATTACCTACCGACTTTGCTTCAAAATTGCTACTTACAGTGGAAGGAGACTTACTTTGCTTTCAAACTGGTCACGGAGGTCAGGGAATGGAAATGTAATAATCAAACTGCGCAAATCTTTGACTGGAACGATGTAAGCTTTCAGTTGCAGTTGGTCAGGCCCAAATGGATGTTCCGTCCACTTTTTAACTTCAATAGACTTGTTCGTAACAGGATGGAAATATTTTATGCACAAGTCTTCCAGTTCATCCAGAGATTCTGACAAGAGGAAGAAGGGAAGAGACAAAACCAAAATTATTATTTTCTTTTTTTAAAATAAAAATTGCGTTTATACATATTATATTGCCTCCAGGGGCTGTTGTGCTTGTTATCCGTTATCAACAACCAGCCCCTAGCAACTCTAGCTCCAAATTATCAAACCAGGGACCTTCTGATTGTGGGGTAAGCACTATAACTTTAGAGTAGAAATATGGGGGCTGAGATATGTTCTTAATAAATTTCTTTTTGAGACACACCTAAACTACCACAACTTTTATGGATGTATTGTGGCCTGTTTTGCACTCAAATTACTTTAATTTTGCACTTTAGTTCATCTAAGCTATTTCCATATATGAAACAAAAAGTATGGATGGAACATTGAGTTACCTCGTCCAAGCATAGCCAGGGTCATGATATTGGATGAATACCACTGTTGGTGGAACTTCATCACTGCATCACGAGTGTTGATGCCGTTAGCTTTCGGGTTGGTAAGGAGAGTATCAAGAGTTCCTGGAACAAAAATAAGGATTATCAACTCAGGTGTCATCTTTCAGCCCATGTTAGAGGGGTCATTCAAAAAGTAAGGTTCTGTATTTCTTTCATATGAAGAACGGAAGTTGAAAAATTTCAAACCAAAGACATAAAGACGGAGTGCTCGTATCTAAAAGCACGGGGAAAAAGTGAAGCTAGGTTCGGCGCTGCGCGTTTGTGTGAGTGTGTAAATGAGCGCGGGAATCCATGGCGGCAAACGGAAATTTGATTTGAACTTGTCCTCTTGATTTTTCCTTATTTCTTCTTCGAAACGTGTTTTAAATGCTTAAAACGATTATATTAAGAAAGTTCGGTCTGCGTCCTAATATATTACACCTACTTTTGCTCGGTAACAGGCAGTAATCTCAGATAAAGTTAGTTTTTCTTCTGCTTATGGTGGTTCTGCAGGTTCAAACAGGCCGTTACAGTTCTAGATCTACGTTACTCCCAAATGAAATCAGTCGGTCGACGACGGACCGAAACTAACCTAAAGTTAATAAAATATGAGTGTGTACCTGAATTTGGGCAAAAATCAACCTAAAATACTTTGTTTCCGCAATTTTATTTATTAGTTCCCGCCCTACATTTGAATTCAAACTTGTCCCGATTTCGCCGCCAATCCTCTAGCCAATAGTAGAGGTGATTGAAAAGAAGCTCTAGAAGCTTCATTTTTTGCTTTTAGTGCTCCGTCTTTATGTCTTTGTTTCAAACATACTCCTGATAAACTTATACTCTCGGCTTTATGATGGCATGTTAATCTTTGTTTCTGAATTAACAGATGGCCCAGTAACTGAATTTATCTGACGCCACCTTGAAAAATTTTCTGCCACCTTTCACTAGGGTGCTATGCAGGTTTTAGTTTTGAATGAGCATTCTCTGCCATTTTTTTGGATTTCTGCCAGGCTTTGGCTTTTTCCTAAAATCTCTGCCATTTTTTTTCTCTTGGTTTTGTAAAATCATAATGAAATTCAGACTTTATCAATAGCTCAGCGAAAACTTTCTTGATTTTACCACAATACCACACTGAAAGGAATTTTAATTTCGCTTCATTCCCAATCGAAAAAAAGCACCCTTAACCCGAGATTCAAATAGCCCCCAAAAATGGTGTCAGAATGGTTTCTAACCTCAGACAGATATTAACAAATAGTTTGTCGCTATCCAGGTGTAGATCTGGCGTACTTTTGGAAGAAAAACATGGCATATTATGGCGTTGTTTTATGTTCTAAGTGATAAAAATATTGTTTTTCATAAACATCAACCAAAAAAATTGAATTTTATTATACTAATAAAAAATCTCCCAGTTTTTCTTCAGGAAAAACTTCGGGATTTGTAAGAAAGAGGTGTGTGAAAAAACGGCCAAAATTGCCTCAAGGCATTTTCGAATTTTGATCACTTGGGGTGATACAGTAGCTTCCGAGACGCCCAAAACCGGTCGCCGTTTTGCTTAGAAGTGCTGGGTGGCGACGTTGCCATTTTTTAAAGTGGAAACCTTTAAAAATTCATATCTCCGCTGCATCTTAACCGATTTCAATGAACTTTTTTTTAAAATGTTCCTCTTAAATAGAGCTTTCTAGTGGTATATAGTTTTTTGGGGTTTACTTGGCTTTAAGCGGTACTTACGAGGTTTTAGCAGTTTTTGATAGACACAAAAATTTAGTTTTTATTTTACCACGATCGTGGAATCGACGGAATCTATACAAAAACCAGTCTAAATGAAAGTTCAGATTCTCACCTTTCTAACGAGCACAAGATCATCCCGGGGAAACGTTTAGTTTTTGAGATATGACCGATCAAAGTTGGTCACATGCGCTTTTGCGCAATGTGAATGCGCCTTATCACTGAACCATTCGCGAACTAGGGGTCCCTTACGTTCAATTTACGTTGAAATAATTACACAGAGCAGTAAGGTGTACAACACCAGCCGTTTTTTCACCTTCGGCTGCCGATATGCGACGTTGCCATTTTTTGAAGTGGAAACTCTTAAAAATGCATAACTCCGCTGCATTTCAACCGATTTCAATGAACTTTTTTTTAAAATGTTCCTCTTAAATAGAGCTTTCTAATGGTATTTAGGTTTCTGGATTTTATTTACCTTAGGGAGGCACTTAGGTCGTTTAAATGGTTCTTTGCAGAGATTTTTCATACAAAAAATGGTTATGCTAATTTTTTTTGTCCGGGGGTCGTAGAAGGGTTTCAAATGGCAGAATGAAAAAAAAGGACTTTTAAAAAAGGGATTTTTTTAATCATTATTCTTACGTGTACAAATATTGAAAGCGACGCTTTCATTGTACAAGAGAAGGTGGTCTTGCTGTTTTACCAAGATTTTTGCATTATACTTAAAGTGATGGTGATCTTCTGATTAAGTTTGAATATTAAAAAAAATCGAGGGAAATATAGACCCCCATCATAAAAAAAAAAAAAAATAAAAAAAATAAAAAAATTAGCATAACCATTTTTTGTATGAAAAATCTCTGCAAAGAACCATTTAAACGACCTAAGTGCCTCCCTAAGGTAAATAAAATCCAGAAACCTAAATACCATTAGAAAGCTCTATTTAAGAGGAACATTTTAAAAAAAAGTTCATTGAAATCGGTTGAAATGCAGCGGAGTTATGCATTTTTAAGAGTTTCCACTTCAAAAAATGGCAACGTCGCATATCGGCAGCCGAAGGTGAAAAAACGGCTGGTGTTGTACACCTTACTGCTCTGTGTAATTATTTCAACGTAAATTGAACGTAAGGGACCCCTAGTTCGCGAATGGTTCAGTGATAAGGCGCATTCACATTGCGCAAAAGCGCATGTGACCAACTTTGATCGGTCATATCTCAAAAACTAAACGTTTCCCCGGGATGATCTTGTGCTCGTTAGAAAGGTGAGAATCTGAACTTTCATTTAGACTGGTTTTTGTATAGATTCCGTCGATTCCACGATCGTGGTAAAATAAAAACTAAATTTTTGTGTCTATCAAAAACTGCTAAAACCTCGTAAGTACCGCTTAAAGCCAAGTAAACCCCAAAAAACTATATACCACTAGAAAGCTCTATTTAAGAGGAACATTTTAAAAAAAAGTTCATTGAAATCGGTTAAGATGCAGCGGAGATATGAATTTTTAAAGGTTTCCACTTTAAAAAATGGCAACGTCGCCACCCAGCACTTCTAAGCAAAACGGCGACCGGTTTTGGGCGTCTCGGAAGCTACTGTATCACCCAAAGTGATCAAAATTCGAAAATGCCTTGAGGCAATTTTGGCCGTTTTTTCACACACCTCTTTCCGGCAGTGTTTAAAAAATCTCTGCCTTTTATTAGAGCAGTCCCCGGTCATTTGTCTGACAACCCTTAATGACTCTAATAATATTAGATTGGAAAAAATCATATTACATATTTGATTCATTATATTACACTAACATGGTAAAAAAGAATCAGTAATTTAAATTGAAACATTATGCTACCTGTGCCAAAACGATTGTAATCATGATCAGCACTGCTGGTTGATTTATCGAACTGGTCTATTCTCCAAGTATCATTCGGAATATTTTTTTCATGCTCTGAATGGATAGCATGCACCTCTCTCTCACTCATTGATTCTGTGAAGAGTGGCGCCATAAAAAACTGAGAAAATCTGAAATTGATTTAACAAATATCATTGTAATGAAAAATATTATGAGAGACATGATAGCAATTTCTTCAAGGTAGTTGTTTAGATTTGGATTTGAAAAGCTATGTATCTTGGATGATAATTATAATGATAAAAAAAAAAAAAAAATTGATAAAACCATAGAAGTATAAAACTTTCTGATTATTTTATTCTACCTACAACAGGAGAATCATCTACATTTCGTCATCAAAGTTAGGTTCTTGTAAGACAAAGCTGAAATGGATTGGTGTCATGGATCGGCTTCGTTGCAAGATCCTTTAATTAAAACTGGCTTTAAAATAAATTTTTGCAGGCTTGAGCTTGCCACTGGACTGCCTTGCTAAGGAAGAACACTGCATGAACCTCCAGACGTTGTCAAGTTTCCTCCGATAAAAACCGAATTTACCGGGAAAATTCGAATATTATTTTTCAAAATTTACAGACAATTTTGTATGCAATATAATATAAAATATCTAAAAATTTCAAGGCAAGATATGCATGAACGTTGTCAAAAATACATATTTTATCGAGGGAAATTCGGCAACTCTCAAAGGTTCATAAAGCTTCCTTCCTTAGCATGGCAGTAGAGTTGACTAGAGTTCAGGGATCATCTGGTTTCATGCAATTAAAACTGATACCCTTGAGTCAGCTTCATAATGGGATGCCATTATAATGACTAAAAATGACATTATAATGCCCCTTTTTTTTATGAAATATCTGCTTATATTAACAAGACTCTGAATTTCTTACCTATCTAAAGCTTCAGCAAAATGTGTATGAGCCACATCAAAGTAATATGTAGTATGATCAAGAGTTGTGAAAGCGTTGTTCATTCCACCATGCTCTGAGATGTATTTATTGTAATCATTTTCGGATGGAAATTTCTCAGTCCCAAGGAATAACATGTGTTCACAAAAGTGAGCTAAGCCCGGCAACTCCTTGGGATCATACATGAAACCTGGAAAGCAAATAATTTAACCTTTAATCTAAACAAACAGATAAGGAAAAGAAATGCGAGAAACGTTTTACTTTCCATGGTGGTTGGATAATTTGACTGGTTCTTGGTTTAGATGCGTTGTCCTAATTATTATGTTTGTTTCTGAATGACAGGCACATTCACTGCAGAAAGAGAGTATTTTCCAAAGGTGACTTTCCATGGCTTGCGGGTATTTTGTTATGCCAATCAACATTTAAGTTAAGTCTTCGTTTAAAAATAGTCTGACTCAATAATTTCTCCTGACCCACTGTGGGACAAAGCATGTTTTTGCCTTTGACTCTCTGTAGGTATGTAGCAAACATTCAATTCAAAATCTTTCCACCTATCATTCATTTGCAACCTCTTTTGCAACCCCCCCCCCCCCCCCCCCNTTCATTTATTATTATTCGGTTTTTCTTCCAGTGGATATCTAGTCATTGGATTCCCTGTGATTAGATGAATTTAAATTTATCTCCTTCTCCAAGTATTGTATCAGATTTAGCTGTTGTTTCAAATTCTTTCTTTTTCTTTCTTTTATGGCTCCAAAAATTCTTCTAATGATTTTTCTCTCAAATCTTCGCAGCATGCCTCTGTCTTTCTTTGTAATAGTCTTCGTTTCTATGTCATATGTCACAATTGATCTGGTTAAAATACTGGGATACAATTTCTTAACTCAAATACTCACCAACATTGACGTCCAGAGCTGCAGCAGCTTTGTCCGTCTTAGGATCACTGATTAGCATTACTTGCATTCCATTTTCAAGTTTTAATCCTCTATACTTCCGCTCATCGTTAGCAGAGATGATAAGGGTATCCTCTACTTTTTCTTTAACACCCACCATGGTACTGTAACGGCAATATTAAGAATTAGGTTAAAATCTACTTTAGAACAAGAAAAGAGGGATGGTGCCTAAAATGACCAACGGATGACCTGAGAAAGGAAGTAGTTTTATTTCACAGTTATCAAATTTAAGAGGACGCAAGGAGATAAATGGCCAAAGTGCGAAACAACATACCTCTATTCCAGTGATTCAAAATTTCCGTTCCGATTTTATTTCTTTCAAAATTAAAAAACTGCATCATTACCTTCTGTTGACACTCTATCTTTGCGCCTTTGATGCGCAATTGCGCATGTATGTACTCCTTCTGTCCATGCCATGTCAGCATTCTTTGCCCCTTGCAATAAGCTTTTTACCTTTAATTAACCGTGGACAAACAATGTCAAACGAGTTCTGAGAAAATTCGAAATCCGCCTTTTCAATACTCTGTTTAGCACCAACTTAGAAGCAAGGCTCAAAAGAAATGATTTAGACAGCTGAACAAGATAATGTTTCATGGAGTTGAAGTATCCGCAGAGATAAGTACCTACGTACACTATAGTAGAGTTCCATAGTAAAAGAAAAAGAGTCATTCACAGAGTATACGAATGCAAGATATATGATAGAAGGTGTAATGCTATGAGAAATCTTACCCAAAGTTTCTAGATCCTAGCGTAAACGAAGCAGATGTTATCTTACTACATCCATGGGTAAGCCCAAAGACATGCCGAGCATACGGCCGGCAAAATTTGAACACGGAGGGAGAAATAATGGCTGTATTGATGAAAACAATGATAAGAAGTTTGGGTTGAACCAATCAAAAACTAACTAGTGGGTCTTCCGATGATATAATTACCGCTGAAAGGCGGAAAAACAAAAGTGTTTTTGATAAAAGAATGTAACTTTATCTTTCCTAACCTCCCTTGTTATCAGTGTTCCCAGGCGTGCGGATATTTCCGCGCCGCGCGGACATTCCCTATACCCGCGCGGACAGCGTACGGACAAAAACCTTATGGGAAAATTTTTCCCTATCTTATTTTGTCCGTACGCTCGCCCGGCCCTGTCCGTGCGTCTGTTTATCCGCTTTTCTTTGCAATATTTATTACTTTTGCGTAAGTTATTGATACAATGATGTTTAGTATGAAAGCCGGGTATCGTTTGGGAACAAATTAGATACTTTTTGCATTAATTATATTGTATTCTTATCAAAATTCAGTCATTTCATTTATGTCCGTGCGCCCGCCCGGCCCAGTCCGTGCATCTGTTAATCCGCTTTTCTTTGCAATATTTATTACTTTTGCGTAAGTTATTGATACAATTATGTTTAGTATGAAAGCCGGGTATCGTTCGGGAACAAATTAGATACTTTTCGCATTAATTATATTGTATTCTTATCAAAATTCAGCCTTTTCATTTAAGGTCCGTCCTTGTTTTCTGTATTGTTGTGCTTTTGTGTTTGATCAGTCAGACATTTTTTCTTACTTTTTTTTCTCAATTTCGCCAATGTTATTGATATAAGGAAGCCACGAATAAAACCCAGGTATCATTCAGGACCTTTCTGCATTAATTTATGTGTTATTCAATCAGTTCAATGGGTTAGGAATTATGAATTTCATGAAAAGTCAGCTCCTTTCTTTTGAATTATTGCTTTTTGATGTAGGCACCTATAATTGTTCCGATTATTTTTTCCTGTCAATGCTTTCTAGAGGACATAGGTACTTGAATGTCACAAGAGATCAAGAGAACATCAACATCATCAACAAAACAACAAAACAGCCGGAACCGGAAACGGAAACGGAATCCGGAGAGCGTACGGACATTTAAGATAGGAGCACCTGGGAACACTGCTTGTTATTATCCCCTGCTGATATGATAACGAAGTGGCTGGACATGGATGTACACTTTTCATTTCGAAAAGTCACTAGAGAACATGACTGGTTCGTCTTCAGTTTTCGTCTGGCACAAAGTCTAAAAAATTAATGCAAGTTAATTTGTTTTTAAAGAGAGTAAAATTTTTCAATTCAACTTATCTGAATGTAGTTAGGTGCTCAGTGAGATTTAAAAACGGTCATGGAACACGGTGGTAATTTTTTTATATTGGCACTAAGAGTCGCAATCCTTCTTGATGTCCGCAAAGCAGAGGAAATGAGTACATAAGCTTATCTCAAACAACATGCAGTTTCATATATTTCACTCTGAAATGTAAAATCAAATGTGTTTCTCACAAATTCACAGCGTACACTCCAATATCCATGTCATTTGCATGGCATGCTAATGTCACCTCTTACCCTTTTTGCCAAAAAAAATTCAGTATCATCTCAGAAACTAGCTTCTAAAATTCGAATGAAAATGTGTTCAATCAGAGGGGAAATCAAGCAATAAAATGTATTAGTGGTGCAAACAAAACAATTTATCCTACCAATTACAGCCCACTTAAGGAAACTTTAAATTCTGTTAAAGGCGGTGTGAATCGATTAGGAACCTCGTTTCAACATTTTTGCTGTTCCCACCAATTATTGTAAATAACAGTTTAGTAACTGTGAGCCCAGCTTGACAGATGATAAAGCCTAGTTTGGCATCATTAATGAAGTTAGAGCTTAAGTATCATTTTGATTTGAAAATGGCAAAATAGCTTCCAAAGTAATTGTAAAACTGTGTAGACGATGCAATCATTGCAATGATTGCATCTACATCAAGGCTCATGAGCCTTGACTAACACTACACATTTAGCCATAAAAATTATGAGGCCTTTAATTCCTGATGATGAGTTTTGTTAATAGAGCAGCAGCTGGATTTCATTGGCAAAGAATGAATCTTATCTAATCGCTAAAATTAATTTTTCAAATCTTTAACAGAAATTGCTAGGAAAAAAATAATGAACCATTCATAGCTCTTTATTTTCTTTCAACTTGGAAAGAACACTAAGATGTAAACATAGCCTTTTTCAAACTATATTGAGGATAGTAGGTAGGTACTCGTTTTCAAACATTATTTTGGATTTGCAGGGTCAACTTTTTGGATATTTGGATAATCAGTGATGGGGCAATAAGACAACTCAATTATTTGTAACAAAATGCATTTATTAAAAACTGTACAAATCAAAATTATTTACAGAATGAAGAAAATTTACCTACTTAGAATTGTTTTCTTAGTCTGTTAAAGGAATATGTACAACAATCGACCATTACAAGTTTTAAGAGAAATTATAGATTACCTACATTTTGTACTTACACCTGTTTGATACACACTAAAAATATTCAGTTTCATTCACATAAAAAGATAAAATTAATAAATATGATTTATTAAAAAAAACTTGCTTTGTATTTACAGCTTTTAGCCAAAGACCACTGATAAATCTCTTTCATTTGGGATTTGAAAAATTCATGGGGCATGCTGCGGATCAAATGCTTTCCTTTTCAGCAATATAATTTATTAGATACATACATTATTGCTTTCAGGCCTAGTTACATCACCTCTAGGTAAATTTAAACTCTTCTTAAAAAACAACTATTAATGCTTTTTTTGGTGAATTTTAGGTTTGTATGGTACATTTAGTGGTCCGATGACATTTTCGGCTCCGGTGGGACATCTAAATACTAAGAGCCGCCTTGATCTATGATCAACCAGGGTACTTTTCAAATTTTAGCAAACTATCCTGTCATAAAATGGAAGTTAGACAATGCGCTTCATTGGTCGATGTATACTCTCCTTACTTACTAAGCAATTGAGAGGTCACCTGTGAGAGGAAAAAAAGAGTCTTTTACCTTGGAGGGTTGATTTCCTCAATACTAATATGGGCAATGAATCTCAGACGCATTTGAAGTGCTGGCCTTAACTTCCTGATAATGGCTTCAACATCGTTCTTCATTATGTCACCGACAAACATGTACTTAATATGGTACAGCAGGTCACAGATTGGGTCCATGTAGTTTAGATGGTCCACTGATTGGTCGACCTGTGCCAGGGCATTGTACAATTCAATCGTTAGGTCGACGACATAGCGCGGGCGATCGGAGTTGAACCGCTGCAAAAAGGGGCCGATTAAATGACACAGGAAGATGAACTGTTCTTCATGTTTGATTTTAGGGAGCAGTTTTTCCTTCATGAACCTGAAAAAGTAAAACAAAAATATGAGACGCAGGCTTTTTTGAGCTTTAGAAACACATTCAAGACACATGTGAGCAAGAGCACAAGCGACTCCAAATTCAATACTTGAATTTACCGATGCGGTTCTTTTTTATTTTTTTAATACAGCTATTTTTGAAACATGAAACACAACCCAGTAGAAAGGAGCTAAATTATCATTATTAGTCAAGGAACCTTCAAAAAGTTGGAGATGGTCTTGCAATGACACATTCTTTTCAGAAGTGTAATATCCAATCAGTTTTTTGATCTTACAGATCACTATAACCCTTGCTCCTTTCATCGGACCAACTTCTGGCGTTTTCAAAATGTATACAATGCAATGCATAAGTTTAAAACAATAGCTAATGTGATGGGTGCAATAGTCCAGCAACAGTTCTTAAAAGAGAGGAAAAAAAGAGATTAACGAAAAAGTCTTACGTCGGGAGTGTTGAGATATGACCGACACCAGCATGATGCCATATTGCATGAGCCAAAGCTAATGTATAGGCCAACTTTGAGGGAAGCAGCGAATTGTGAGTCAGCTTGAAATTCAATAACTGGAAAGGTGAGAAACGGTACTTCCATTCTAGGAGGCTTGGACAGCTAACAATTTCTTCGAGCCGATCATGAAGCACTAACCAGTATGAATCCGGAAGAGCAGACATAATGAGACCAATACTATTTATCCACATATGTATTTCGTTGGATGGTATTGCATTGTATCTGTGAAAAAGATAGAGAGATAGGGAATTCATGCTAAAGAAAAATTAGAAGAAAGACTAAGGAGGACACATGTTTTAAAAATTCCTCACAGTTGAGTTGAAAGACAAGTTATTTTTTCCCTGAAATGTATCAATTTTCCAACATTACATAAAAAGCCGTGCGTAAAAATGGCTAAATCCCCTGTGGCGCTAGTTGCTTTCATTTTTATAATACACATAATGTGCTCCTATTACGAAGAGATTATATTCCTGGAATTTTCAAGTCCCAAAAAATGTTCCTGTATTCTAGCAGTATTGCTAAGTTGGCTTCTTAGTTTGATTACTTTTGAACCCTAGTGACCTGCAGTTTGCGCTAAAATTCTTTCAAAATTGTGAAGTTTCATTTAATGTTTGATTTTAGAATAAAACATCACATTAAACTGCCAAAGAAGTTATTTTTGATTGTAAACCTTTTTCTCAGTATTTTGCTTGTTCCAACCCATAGCTTTTAGCCAGTTCTGAGCATCATAGACCAACACCCCCCCCCCCCCCAAAAAAAAAATTAAAAAACTCCACAATTTTGTGATATATATAACACAACTAAAAAAAATTCAGGGGAGAAAATGATTCATTTTGCACTGACGTCTTTACAAGATAGTTCTGCAGTCCAAAGGTTTTGTCAAATTACTTTTGGTCCTTCTTTGTGAAGCTCTTTTCTTTGAATCCATACCAGGAGAATCCATTTTTAATTTATAAACGCAAATCAAACACTAGACTTGATTTTTTGATGACATACATTTTTGTTAGGTAATTAAATTTGACAGAGAGACGAAAATAATGAGAGTTTACCCTTTGACAATAACATCCAGAAGTGCATTTCCTACAACACTTGGAGGTACAGGAGTTGCCATCAATTCAACGCAAGTGACATACAAGGCATGGGCTGCAGGATTTGGAAACTCATTGAAACGCCAGTCAGTTGCTGGAAAGTTACTTGTACCTGTCATTGTTTCAACAATCCTGTGGATCAAAACAATCATAGAGGATGAATAATTGATAGTTTGAAAAATAAAGCAAAATCATTGGGAAATTCTGTATCATTGGTTCATTTGAGCTTAAAGCCATCTAAAAAGCAAAACTGTTGCAAAATAATATCAACTTGAACTGTAAGAAAGTAAAACAAAGTCTGCATACAGAGGTCAAGGAGACAAAACATTTTACAAAATCATTGCAGGATGAAGTATGTAATTAATTTTCTTTTTATCTCTAACCTTTACGAACCTCACAAAAAAGTAATTTTATGTTACTTATTGTAGAATAAACTACACAGGAAAGTTGTTTGATTTCAGCGATGAAAGTAATGTGACAAGAAACGTTTTTCCTAGACATGGAAAGGAGGACTCGCATGAAAACTGATGAAGAAAAGAAGATATACTTGGCACAAATCCACAAAGAGGTAAAAGCAAGGGAACAAGACAGTGAAAAAAATATTCAGATTAAAAAAAAAAAAAAAAAAAAAAATTTTNAAAAAAAAAAAAAAAAAATATTTTTGCTTTTAGTGTTAGGAGAAATGAACCTTGTTCAGCTGCTTTAATTGTGGATTATTTGAAATGTAAATGTTCCACAAGATAAAAAAATTCTTTGAAGACAGGACATAAATCTAAAAATATTCCAATATCTAATCTGCATCTGATACTGATTAAAAACTCAAGACTCAGGAAAAAAATACAATTAATTGTGTTGGACATTTTTTAAAAAACTAACCTGCGAATTAACTGGACATAATAATCTAAATCAGGAATCCAAGATGTGCGATCACTTTGCATATAGGCAAGATATGCTTTTGAAAGACCCCACCCAGGTGCTCTTGAAACGTACAGAAAACCAAGGACTGCAGAGACCAATTTACGTTTCAACAGAGGACGATCCCGGAGCTTCTGCTCATAATAATGTAAGGTATTATACAAGTAAGTGACTGGCCGATCTGGAAAAAAGACAATAAAATTTTGCATTTTAGAACACAAATTACAAAAAAAGGAAAAAGAGAGAAAGTATTGAAGCATCATATTTGTTTGAATTTTTATTTATTAATTGATTTATTTAGTTCTTTATTTGCATTGAATTATATTTACAAAACGGAAATTTTGTCAGTATAAGACTAATGCTTTAAACAATTTTTGTGATTATATTGTAGCCATCTAACATGAAAATATGGATTACAATTGGTACTAATCTGAATAAAAATTATACTGAGCCCTGTTGAGAATTAGATAAAAAAAAGTCCAGTGGAATTGTGATAAGCCGATTTTGTCCAACTTTGGCAAAGCTCTGAGTAAGGCAAATTTCAGCTTGAGTTGAAAAATATAGCATGCATTGGGTGGATGAGCATCGAACAATAACAAATTTTTCTGGGTAAGAATAGTCAGAAATTTTACAGATGGCAGCGTAGCCATTGTAAAGTTAAGGAAGGCCACAGTACCCCGCCGAACCAGGTGGCCTTTACTGCCAATACAGGATCCGTTAGTTTTTCTTTTCCTTCTAACTTCTTGTACAGCATAGTCTCAGTACAGGATTCATCGTCAGGAACTTCACATTTATGTCTGACTAAATGCAAAAAATGTGTCCGAGGTAAGGGGATTTTCTATTAAGGTGAAAGCAAGATTCTGACTTATCCCAAAATCGATAACATTACAGTACAGGGAAATAGATAGAATCAGAGAGAAAACATGACTGATTTGAATTTCTCACATATTGAAAGTTTACTGTCAAATAGAAACTATCATTACGGTCAAAGCAGGGTCTTGCAACATTCCTCCTGCTGTTTCAGGCACAGAAAACAAGAAATGTCTGTTTTGCTGGCCTTATTAATGATGGTAATGACCAAAAACAGAGACAGTCTTTTCTTGTGCCATGGTATCATCAGAGAGTAATGAATGGCTACAAAGAAGGAAAAGATACTACGAAACTTACCATGGAATTTGTACAAGCAACCAAGGTGTTCCAAAAGAGTTTCCAGGGTTTTGGTAATTGACGGAGGCAATTCTAAATACCGATGTATCACTATATCAAAGACCTGCAAGGAGAAAAGATTGAATAAAAAAAAAGGAGACAATTGCTCTTGCTAAAAAAAAAAATCAAACAAATCAAATCGTTTTTTAAAAGATGAGATCGAAAAGATGTTTACCATTCTAATAATATCCTGTGTCCATGTTAATTTTGTTTGTGAATTTTTTAAGAAAAATAATATAATACGAGTTTTGTTGTTTTTGTCACCTCTCGCTGGTTACATGAGGGATTCCATTTTTATCAGATGTGCAACGGATCAGTTGGTGCACTCAGTCCTTCTTTCCTGTCATTTGTGATATCGGTGCAAGCACACAAAGCTAATTACTTCACCATCTGCTTCAGGATTAATTAGTTTCCATTTTATTAATATATTATTTTTTGCCCAATATCATTCCTTAATACCTTAAAGAAGATCGTCAGGTGAACTTGATGTGGCAGATGCAAAGAGGCAAAAACCAATGGGATGATTTTATACTTGCCACTGTTCAAAAGAAAAGGGACTTTAGCATGATGGAATCAGAATTGGCTCATTAATACTGAAGAATGGAAGAATGTTCTTCAAACGTTTCCGTATGCTCGGAAAAAAGCTCTTGCAATATCATCCTAAACTGGGAGTTATGGCAGTTTGAAGTTTGCATTTCAAAAAGAAGTTTAAAAAAGCTATCTAAAATCGTAATGCTGTGTTTAATTAAAAAAGGAAACAATTTTAATCAGACTTTGGCACACCTAAAATGATAGTCACTGCTCGAGTGATACCACCACAGCATTGTTCATGCAGTGACTTTATTCGCGACTTTCACACCACTAAAGGTTTGGGAGAGCTTGCGAAAGGTTCTCAAAACTTACTGGAAGAAATCTGAGACAAACATTGCCAAAGTAAACAGGTAATGACTGGTATGATGAAGAGGAACCACTGGTTTGTTCAATTATGCCCTCTGGAGCGAACTTCTCTGGGTACTTTCTGTGGAAAGCGAGATGTTTTTCATGCCTGCAAGAAAATTTGGCATATTAATACATAATGTAATTTATGTGTGTATGTGATTTCACTTGGTAAAGGCAGATACTGCCGCCATTGACACATCTAAGAATGATGAGATGAAATCAATGCTACTTCAAAATGGAAAACTGACTTCAGGCTAGATCAAAGTGGAGAAAATCAAGCTGTCATTTGAAGTTATGTTCACCATGTTAACACTGGTCTCTGAATGATAATTTGGAGGTTATATCCTTGCATTTCTATCCCTTGAGACGAACCTGATAAAGTTATTTTCGACTTTGAGTGATGATTTCAATTTAGTGGATTTTTAGTGGCAAATAGAATCTTCGTTCAAAAATATACAGTAGGGTTTCATTTTGGACAGTCATTTTCATGTACCATTAGTTTCTCTACTTGGACTGGTGCTTTTGATAATGAGCCATAGAAAGTATGCAGTTCCTTAATGTAAAATGTAATCCAATAAATTGAAGGTTCTGATATTTTCATTTGGAAATTACTTTCCCAGTCATTAGGAGGAAATCCATCATACTAGCCACCGTTGTGACAAATAAGGCTAAAGAGCCTTATTGTATCACATTTAATTAGATACAAATACTTCAACTAGAGTATGACTAAAAAAATTACCAATTTGATTGCTTCCAGTGCTCAGGAGAGTTCTCTGCAACAAATTCTTGGACTCGATTTCTAAATTCAGATGCTTTGAAAAGAAGTAGTTGAATGATGAAAAAGCAGACCTGCGCCTCATTGCCCTCTTGAGTCCGTAAAGCCTGAGCAAAATAATAAAAAAGATAAAAACGATAATTTATAATCACAATGAATGAGAAAACCTTTATACGTTACAGATGAAGGTATCCAGTCCGTAAAGCCTGAGCAAAATAATAAAAAAGATAAAAACGATAATTTATAATCACAATGAATGAGAAAACCTTTATCCGTTACAGAAGAAGGTAACCTTTACAATTATTTTTAAAAAAAAGTATATTTTAAACTATATATATGCCTGATAATGGGATTGTACACAGTTTGTTTGAAAAGTTACTCATGCCTCCAATTAGAGTCAACTTTTGAAGAGACTTCTGAGAAACAGGGAGAAAAACTACAGATACCACTTTTGAAGACTAAAAAAGGTGTGCTTCCAGCCCAAATTTTAATGAATTCAGTTGTAGTACTCCATGCCTAGACCTATATGGTGAAAAAAAGCAAAAATAAACGAAAAATTGCTTTCTTGGCTGATTTTGGTGTATTGAATTGAACCTTGCTACACACCAGACAGAAAAAGTATCGACATTAATAGAACTTACAAATTTTTTTTTTTTTTTTTTTTTTTTTTTTTAAACTACTTCAAATAGCCCTCAAGGGCTAATCCCACGCTTTAGGTCCCATCCCCCCTCCGTCCCTACTGAACCAGTCCCAGGCAACCATTATTTGAGACCATCAAACTCGGGTCGCGTGGCCGGGAATCGAACCCGGGACCTCCCGATCATAGAGCAAGCGCTACAACCACTACACCATAGGAGGCCGACAAGTATAATAAAGTTAAGTAGAGTAAAGTAAGTAAAGTAAAGTAAAGTTAAGTAAGACAAGTTAAGTAAATTAAAAGGTGTTTGAATGTCTAATTTCAACTGTTTCAGTGACCTTATGCGTAAGCTTAGATGCAAAAACGTCATTTTTGGCACAATGTTGACAAAGTAACTTCTAAGAACACAAATAAAATGGTGTGTATGAAATGAAACTAAAAATGACAATACTTCCTCTACCCTAGGGTAGCGAGAAAGTAAAAGGCCTGCTTTCAAATTGAGAAAATTAAAACAATTTATTACCAAACATAAAACAAGTCGGTCAATGGTGAGAATATTATATTTCCAAATCATATTATTGATCGCATCAACTCCTTTATTGATACGTTGACTTTCTTCAGAATTGGCAAATTTAAAAACCAAATAATCACAGAACTTGCGCAGATGAGCTGACAATGCTCTGGCACCAATTCGTTCTAGAATTCTGAAAAATTACCAGAAAATTATACAAAATCAATAAACAAGAAAGATTAGACAACAAAAACACAATTCATTAAAAATACAAGAAAAGCCACAGTTTTTTAAAAAAATTTAAAATTACGTATATGTTGAATTTTTATTTTTTTAAATCGACATAGGGGATGCCGCAAAAATCGATTCCTCCAAACAACTAGAACATGCTTACCAAAAAAAAACAAAAAACCACACAACTCAAAAATGGATTTTGACACCGATGGTGCTCAGTTCCTGAATGAGGATATAGGATGACAAGACACATCCTTTAACTTCTTCCTTCAACAAGAGGTGCAATAAACCACCGGACAAGATTAGAACTTGATTATTGCTATATGTGTATGCTTCTTCATCAACTTTTCATGTTAGTTCTACATAAAATTCATGACTGACGATGAGATATAACATTTTCCATGTCCATCAATTTAGGTTTCCTTAGTGATAAAATTCCAACTTTACTAGAGCTGAATAAGTTACTGAAATAGTCTTGACATACTCTACAGTCAAGAATAGTTTTTAGTATACTATTGCATTCAAGAGAAATTTACAAAGGCCGTGTATCAAAGTGAGGGGAAGGTTTTACAAAGCCTAACTTGGGTAAAACGTCACATTCATTTTCATAGACCACTTGGACTCACAATTTTTAAATTGACAGGGAGTTGACAAGGATGAATCTTAATATAATGCACTCTTTCTTATGAGTTGCTTTCAGAAAGCTTTGACAAATTTACTCTGTACAATTTGAAACTTTTATGAGGAAACAAACAGGGTGTCCCAGATCATCGCTACCAGGTTTCTTACTCGGTTACTTTGGGTTGGACAAATTTGGGGACCACAGGGTGGTGGGGTCCTGTCTTTGAGAATCGGGCTTTCCTGAACGATACATATTAAAATTATTTAATCAAAATCAGGATGTATAAAAAATTCTGACTCAAATCAATATAAAAAAGTTGAAAATCAATTTGTTCAATAATGAGCATTCTAATAAAGAAAAGATAGGGCATGAACCGAACGAGGCCGATGTAAAATAAAAAAACAACCAAGTAGAGCAAGTAATATGATAAGTTTAAAGAGTTCTCTGGTTTCAAATATCAGATGGCGTTGCTCCTGAGTTAGCCAACGCCTCCAGAAAGAGCATTAACACATCGAGAAGGGCAAGCAGATGCTAAAAAATTTCAGGGGTGAAACATGAAAAAATATTAGGAGAAAAACTTCAAACTAACTTGTAGGCTATGGGGTTGATTCTGTCCGTTTCAAGGATGAGTTTCCATAGTAAGCAGAGGAAGAGAGGCGGGCTACCAGGAACTGAGAAGTGAGCTATGATATCATTTTCATTTGTCATTGAGGCCCAATTGTGATACTCTTCTTCGACAGCTTTCTGAAAATTCAAATTGTTTTTAACTTCTGATCATTAGAAATTATCAGTATAAAATGGGTCTCTCGCTAGAGTCTCACTAAGAAATATGTAATCGTAGAGCCAAAAAATTCACCAAAGTAGAATTTTGACGTAACAAACAAAGCACTATAAGCTACAGCCTTCGATCGGGCTAAAATGATTTCCATGAACTCTTTGGATGATTTTCATTTTCATTTTTTTTCATTTGCTTGATATATCTAAGCATAACAAACAGACAAACGACTGCCGTTATGATGGAGTGCACAGGCTCTTGATGAATTAGAATTTGTAATAGGTGATAATGATAAATTAAATTAATACTTGATTCTAAAGTATAAAATGTGAAAAGAGGTAGAGTACTGTTACAAAAAAATATGAGTAAGTTGAATAGGGGCAAAAAAATGTTGCCACTTCCACAGGCCTCCAACTCGAAGCTGTAGGATTGGAAAAAAGCACGCCTCCAACGTGCTACAGCTTTGGTTGGAAATGGAGGCAGCATCTATTCTATTACAGCTTTCTGTTTTTTTTTTTTTTTTTTTTTTTTTTTTTTTTTTTTTTTTTTTTTTTTTTTTGAAAAAGGAATTTCTAGCTGGTGGCTGGGTGCCTAGAGCAAAATCTAGATTTTTGGAATTTCTTACTGTGTTTGACTGCATCAAAGAAGAAAGGAATATTTCAAAATTGAAAAAGAAATAAGAGAGTAGAAACGACTTGGAATCGCATCTGCCAGAATTCACATTTTTTTAGAGCCTAACTAATGCTGCAAACAAAAGGATAAACACCTTCATTCATTTCTTCTACTCAAAGGAATGATTGAAGGTATGATCATGAATTAAAAAGAATTCAATTTAAGAGAAGGACAAAATCATAAAGATAGAATGGATGCACGAATATTTCATAAAAGTATTTTCACACATTGACTAACTAATCTTTCCATCAACAAAGATCCTTACACTTACTTTTAACTGTTGCTTGTTCTCAATGGGAACTGAATTTTGCTGGAAGAATTCCTGCAGTGCGGAGGGAAAACAAATCAATGTGTGATTGGCCCAACTGTGCGGAGTGTTTTGCATTATTGTATTAAGTAATTCTCGACACCAGCTTCCTGAGACAGGATCACCGCCAGTCCCAGTAACATGCATTGATCTTGCCAAAGTTAACACCAATGCTCGATTTAACTCTTCCGACTCAGCTGATACAAGGGTTTTTGGTTCACTTAAAAATCTTGACAACTGAGGTTGTACTTCTGCACTTCCTAAACCCGTGATCAGTTTCAAAGCAGTGCTTTCGACGCTAGTAAAATTTGAAAACAAAATCAATTAATAGAATAGTTGAGGAGACCTCTATCTCTATATCTAAGTGAGTCATGGGAGTAAGCCTGTCATAGAACTGCAATTAAAAATTCAAACTTCATAGATTGGCTAAGAGTAAAAAGTAAGCTTACCTAAGATCATCTCATGACAAACATAAGAAATAACTTAATTCACACATTATTAATTTTTTTAACCCATGTCACTCAATAGTGCATGTGCAGGAGCCATTGAAAAGTTTACTTGTTACTGACCAACAGTGTCAAGATTAAAAAATTCATGATTTGAACAATTCCTCAGGATGGTGTGATTACCATTTCTTTGAAGATGCTGTGACTTTATAAATATCAAAGAGAAAAATTTGTTATCACAAAAAATCTTCTTGTCATTTGCTGATTTATTAGCTTTAATTATCCAAAAATAATTTTTTGGCACCTTGAGCTGAATAATGGGAAACACTATCGCAGTATAGATTCAAGAACTAGGAGCTATTGAAATAAAAAAAAAATCATAGGGCTATCTTTTCAAATGTATTAAATAAAAAGAGTTAGGTGCTAACCATTGTAAGAAGTCCCTTAAATTATTTCATCAAAAAAGGTAGTCCTGGAAAATCTTTTAGACAAACGAGATTTCAATTCTTTTGCCCAAATGCTACTACAGTCAAAAGCTCACCAGGTCGGAATGCATCAGGACCAAGGGGTCATTCCAACACAGCAGGGTTTCTGAGGTAAACGGACTTTAAATTGGCAAAACAAAAACCGGGACAAAGCCATTATCACCAAGATAGCAAGGTTTTCGACTTGGTTGGTTTGACTGTAGTTCGACAATCTGTTCAAATGCTACAAGTATTTCTAGACTGAAAGGATTGAAGACTTGACAGCTTCTACAAATACTAGAACTCCAGGGTGGTAGAAAATATTCTGGGTACAGCAAATTCTTGGCATAAATATTAACATTAAGACCTACATATCAACAGTGAAACTGAAAAAATGCGTACCTATATTGCAGCATTTCAAAATCTTCCCCTTTATTTTATATTCTGGAAGAAGACCAAACCAAAGTTTGAAATTTTCAAAGAATATTTCTTACACAGAGAAGAAAAATCGCCGAAAATTTCAAGAGATGACAAATAGCAGTTTTCCATGTAGAAAATGAAGTACAACATGAAGTCTACATTGCCGCAAACCAAAATATGCATTTCTGCAGTTTTACCATTAATATGCTGCAAAGATAAGGAGAATGCTATGTTTTTGAGCAGATTTGAGTCAGTGATTTGAATTAGCTTACCATAAATGAAGCTGTGTTTGATTTGTTTGTGGTACAGCTGCCAAACTGTGAAGGTGGGATAGAAGCTGGACTCGATAATGTGGTTGAATATGATGCATTCGGTAACTGAACATTTCCAGCAAAGTGTACAGAGTTCCCCATGCATGTGACTTAAAAACTGTGGGCAGCAGCTGACCTGTGATGAGAAAATTGGCAAGTATAAGGTTAGGAAGCCAACAAAATGAGAAGAAATGGAAGAATTCAAAAATTACATTAATATTATAATAAGTGCCTGTTGATTGAGTCTTCACCATAATTTCTTGGGTGAATAAGTTTCACTAAGGATACATTTTAATGAATGCGTAAAAAGACTTGGTTCATTTTTTGAAAAATTATCAATTTCGTTTCTGACTTCCTCAATAAATAGCCAAAGATAAACTTCATTTTCTGAATTAGGTAAAAGATAGAAGTTCTAGGAAAAAGCTACTTACTTATAAAACCTTTTATTCCCAGTGACTCTATTTCAGTATACACTAGTAAGCGGCTGTAAGTTTCCACCAGAGCTGGAGCTAAAGCCATGCTTGATTTAGATTGAGCAAGTTTTATGACATGTGTCACAATACTGTGTATAAGGCTCATTTTTGAATGGACCGTCAGTGAGTCTAGGATTGACATTGAGAGGGGAGTTGTTGGCCCATTCGATAGAGCTGCATTGTTTGGCAATGGTGTCGGAACTTGTGCTGCTTGCGCTGGGCCTTTCTGAATTGAGTCGACTAAAGCAGTCATCGGCCGGGAAAAATAGTCAGAATTTGTCGAGTATGCATTGCACAGTAAAGCTATTCTATAATCGGAACCCATGCTTAAATTTGTGTTTGGAAAAACCAAATGCTGCAAGAAACTAGAAATAGAAGAAAAAAACACAGAATGAGAGTTGAGAGTTTCAGAAATACACTTTCATGATAATTCCAGAACATATGATAAATTTCAGGTGCTTCCGTGTCTTTACGTTTTGCAGACTTCTACGGTTACTTCCTTGCAAAATCTAACAGTAAATTTATAATCATATGAACTTAAACATTCCTTTTAACCAGATTTCTCTAAGTATTTGTTGAGTAATAAGTCTCATATTTGTTCTGGTGTATCAATGCAACTTTAAGGAAAAGGTCAAGTTACTTCATGTCTAGTGTGAGAACATTGGTGAAAGTATATACTGCATTCCTGTTGCATCCTGCATTGCTGCTCGTTCTTGGAGAAACAATTGTCAGAAAATCAGTTTAGTGCAGTCATTTCTTTGTTACTTGCCACGAACTCGAAACAGGGAGAAAAATAAAGAGGTGGCTGAAAGGCAGCATAATGTTGTTGATTTCATGAATTTTGAGCATGAACAATGATTTTTGAGCTCAGATGGTTTTTGGGCTTTTAAAGCCATAAAAAAAGTTGGTTCTACAGTGCGACCAAAAATATAAATTATCAAGGCCGAGGATTTGTAGCACCTAGAAGTCATACTCATTTTTTATAGAATGGTGCAAGAAACTTTGTTGCCACAATTTTTCCTTGTCTACTTGGCGTCTGAAGAAGACGCGGTAGCTATATTATTCAACATTCCTAAACTTGAATTTTCTATTGAAATGTGATTTTCTTTCTCATAATAGTTTAGGGGTTGATAGAAAGTATTTGGTATTTATTAACAACTTTTTTGTTTCAGTAATATTCATTCCTAAAGTCAAGAGTACATATTCTCATACAGAAGGCATGAAAATTAAATGAATAGTATGATCTGAAAAAAGGAGCACAACAGAATAGAATCTAAAAAATGGGCCAAACAAGACTAAAATATTAAAAACACTGAACAAGCTGGACTTTGGAAGCATTTAAGACTCATTTTTAAAAAAAAACTAAGGAAAATTGAGTGGCAACCTGATCCCTGTTATAGTCACGCTTTCGCTGAAGATTATCCAGTGTACTTACTCATGGTGGTTCTGAAGTGTGAGAGGAATGGGTCGAGTCATATTCAGTTTCTCGGTTTGAGCCTTTTTCAGTAAATGGATCCATATGCAAGTGGCTGCCATGTGGTGAGTGCAAAGAGCATGGTTCACATCAGGCACAGGTAAAGGCTCTTTCTCCGGATACAATAAATCATAGAGTTTCAGAACAGGGAGAAAATTACTCAGCTGAAAGTAAAATGCACCAAATTCAAAGATAAAACATTGAAAATACACAGCATTCCCTCCATGAAATTCAAAGAAAATTTGAGCCAAAGTCTCTACAGTTTATAGCAAACTTAGCTGCAGATCAATGGAACAGGAAAGAACCAGTTAGCTACTTTGACAGTAGGAATAACCCTTAATGTCCAATTTGTGCAGAGGCGTAACTACCATACCTGCCGCCACTGCCGGGCAAGGGGGCGCAGCGATGCAAGGGGCGCAAAATTTTGGGAAAAGAAAACGGGAAAAAGAAGGAGAAAAAGAAAAAGAGAGAAAAGAAAGAAGGCAGAGAGGGAGAGGCAGAAAAGATGGAGAAAGAGGAAAGCAAGGAGAACAAGTACTTAACCCTACCTTTACTACTTACTTTATTTAACTTTGCCCGTGAGTGTTACCTCTGCCGAGCGGTCTTTTTTGGAATTGAAACTGATCAAAACTTATCTGCAGAGCACAATGAGCCAACATTGACTGTGGGGTCTTGCGCTCTTGTCAATTGAAAATGAAATTGCAGCTGCCTTAAATTTCGATCACCTCACTGAAGAGTTTTCAAATGCTAAGGCGAGACGAAAAAAATTTTGATCATGCAAACATTTCATGTAAGTTTCACATTTTTTGGGACTTGAATTTCCTCTTCACTTTTCTTTCTATTTTCATAGCGATTCCTTGATTTTCTTTCATTTATTCAGATCTGAATGACTAGACAGGCAGGGGAAGGGAGGGTTCGCTGCTCAAAACTTCTGTTATGAAAGGGCGCAGCCTTAGATTGGCAGGGGTGCGCGAAGATTTCTCGTTACGCTACTGAATTTGTAGCCTTTGTCTCACTAGCAGAATTGAGACGGGGTTCCTATTTGTTATGTGTAACCTCAACTTAAGCTCAAGTGCTGACTTAAGAATATTAGAAAGTAAGACCTTTTAATTTGCAACAACTAATTATTAAAGACTTGCTGATTTTAGAACTTCTTGAAAACACAGTTTTCGGCCAAGCAAAGAAAGACATTTGCTTACAGTTTAAAGGTGAAGCATCTACAATCTCATGATATGATACATTTGAAAAGAACACCATCTCAAAGTCTACCACATTTTTAGTGTTTTTTCCCTGTAATGCTTTAACCTGGAAAAACTGCGTACAGAAAATAGTTTTCTTCTTACTTACAGGATTCCGTTGAATACTTCCAGATATGAACTGCAACAAAACCCACATGAGGTGGTCTCTTCCTTTCCGAAGATCTCTGTTTGCCAGCTGAAAATGAAGTGAATTTTTTGATATAACTAAGTTATTTTTTGTTTTCTCTATTCAATAGTGCTCTGTAATTGAGGAGAATCGATTTTGAAAATGATATTGAACATATTTTGACAATAAATTCTGGCTCTCGTGACTAACTCTAGAGAGTGGGCAGTGTGGTAACCCCTTCTTCTAGCGAGAAGAGGTCGCCTCTCGATTTCTGACCGTTCTAGCCGATGCCCACAATTGGCTCATGCCAAACAATTTTTGTCCATGTGGGAAATAGGGGGGTATAATTGAATAATTATAAGTCAGAATCTTTGAAAATTAAATCTTCGAAATTTTCTGAACAGATTGATGGGAAGAGCTAGAAATGTAAGACACTACCAGATTGCAAAAATTGGCCTCCCATAAAAAGTAACCTATCCTCATTGACAGAAGGGGTTGAGATGCAGCCCATAGTTCAGATCACAACTTACTTTCTCTTTATGATAGGTTGATGAGTCAAACAACCAAAGAGGATGTAAGACGATCTGCCATTATTCTGAAAGTTGGAGAACATCTTTAAGAGCTCACTCTTCCTGCAGTTAGATCATTAGAGCAGAATTTTTTTGACAATAAATAAGAAATAAAATCCTACTTGAATTGATAATTATAGCAGATGTTATCTGAATGAATGATTGAACTATCCAGTTGAGTTATTGACAACATTCAGATTTAGACAAAATTTGATTTTTCTATCAGCATGCAACGTTCAGATATTGACTAATAATGGCTATCTTTTCCTGAAATGTAATTATGATGTACAAGGGCAATCTTAGAAGCAGTACCTTGTCATGAAGTGCATTAACTATGTTAGGGAAGCTTGCAAATTGGAAGAGAACAAAATAGATGAGTTGCGATGATAAGTGAAGCCAAAGCCAATGTGTGCTTGTAGTATCGACACCTTCTCCAACAGGTTGCTCATTTTCACTTCTCTCCATTGCAACAACTGCTAACTCCACAATTTGTTCTTCCAAAACGACACATCGCACCTTTACCTGCAATAACAAAATAATTTAGTTAGGTATATTGCTAAACATTTCTGAGACTCCTTCATCTCTTTGGAGGAGAGGCTTGCTTTAGATCTTGATGGAATTTTCCATTGTGTTTTTTATCATTCAAAATTGCACGGTAGTAAGAAAATTAGCTCACGACTTCAATTAATGGTGAAACTTTCATCTGACCTTTTTCTTTTCACAATTATTTCTGTTATAAGACAGCTTTGCAGTTGTTTGCTTAAAAATATAATTGAAAATTGATTGTTTCTGAACTCTCATGGAATCCAAATACAGCATAAAAATTCCGACTATCCTTTGCAGCTGCTAAAACAAATACCCATTATCATTCATTTATACTGTTAGGCCCTATGGTTAGGGGAAACAGATTCTATATTTGCCTGTGAAACGCTCTTGGGGTTGATTAGAAGACACTATTTTGGTTTTTGACAGGAAAAAATAGAATTTTCCAATTTCTGTCCAAAGATAATACATTATACATCCTAAAAATTTGAGTACCTCTGGACGGGTATATTTATTAAAATTTCAAGCAAATAGGATGAACACATCAAACATTTCCCAAATCGACTCTTACATAGTAAGCACCTTTTTATTTTACCTTCAATCTAATTATTATTTTAACAATTAATTATTCTTATGTGGAAAAAAAAATAAATAAATAAACTGGCAGTAATTCATCCCTGCAGGATTGAAATAGCTGGTTCTTATGCAGTCAAATTCGGTGACATGGTTCTTCAATAATTCTTTGATTGTATGGATAGAATAGACCGGAACTCTTGGAGAAACACAAGGAGCAGATGAACATCGTTGTTGTTCCTAAGAATCTCCTTAAAAATGGTTTATAACTCTTGATGTATTTGATAAAAATATTAAAAGTTCCCTGAACAGGTACGGTCAGCAGAAACAAAAATGTATTATCTTTATTAACTGATTAATTTTGACTCTAATTCTAATTTTTGGAACTTCTTGGCTTTGTTCTCCTTGCAAAATGGTGTGGACCCAGCACCACTTCTCCACCTTGTTACATACAGTTCGGGCCACTTCTTAGTGTTTTTTTTTCTTCACTTTATTAATTGAAGAATAATGTTTTTTAAGGAGTGCTTGAATAGAGCAAATAAAAACAGGAAATTTTTGACAACATTAGTACAAAATTACAGGTGATAATTTAACAGGACAATGCCTGAGATATGCTCTCCTCTCCTCCATGCAGCACTCTCATGCTTGTAGCCGAAGAGGTCCCTGTAAGCAAGTTATAGAAATCATTTAATTTGAGATGGTCTCGAGCTGGCCAATGGAGAGCACAGTGCCCGGACTTGATACCCCTTTACTAATAAACCATCAGTCTTCAGTCAGTATGGCTCACTCAAGAAAAATACAACTAACCGTTTTTTGTAATCCAAGCATTGCACAAACCATATCTCTTGAATATGGTTGTTCCAAAACGTAGCGCAGTAGATGTGTTTGAGGTTCTGACAAAGATTTTTCATACGGAAGGTTTCCTTTCAAGGTAAATTTTAAAGTGGTAGGATCCAGCTTCCAAGGATTAATCAGATGATCAGCATAACCTGAATGTTCCACAACAGGAAGCATTGAAGAATGCCCAATGATGGTAAGCATTTGAGCGACCGATCTGAAGCCTTCAACAAAATTTGAAAGTAAAGGCGCTAGTGTCTGAAAACAGCAAGAAGAGAGTCTCAAGCAAACAGCCAATACAAACAAATACACCTAGACACAGCTTCACAGAAAGGCAAACAGAACATTACTTTAACTATGTATTGCCTACAAAAAATGTTTGCTGTTGGTGTAGTGAAAGCATCATGAAAATGCTGACTCACTCCTCAAAGATTGTAGAGCCCCTTTCAGAAAATTTTGCCTTTATCACTGTATGCACAGGATATAGGTAATTTCCTAATTCTCATGTAAGGCAAAAAAGACAAAGTAATCTGAAACGGGCTCAAGCAGACTGCGTTCAACATATCATGAAATGTCAAAACTCAAATAAGTTTTGGTTTGTCAATGGAGCTCATGAGGGTGCTATGAATACTAAAATTTTTGTAAAGAGAGTAATTTAAAAAAAAAAAGATGAGACGTTGAGGATTTCTGAAGGGTGCCTACTAGAAAGCAGACACTGTATACGACAATTGTCAATGCAAAATTTTCATACAAAGCTAGTGGAGGTAAAAGCAGAGCCAGGGAATTTCCCAAACAGCTAGCTTCTCTACCGACTTTTTTAGGCTTCTTTGTATTAACCTCTTTACTTTGTCTCAGAATAAACACTGGAGGATTGGGTCTGAAAATAGCTTATTTTCCCATCTTTTGGACTCCATGGTAAGTCAAGAAATTTTTTTTTAAAAAAAGTATGAAGGGAGATTTACCCAATGAGGCCAGGCATTGTTGTCCGGGTACTCTTTTTGCACTTCATTGTTGATGAAATAGCCAGGAAGAAGACAGGCATTCCTATCAAAAATATGTTCTAAAACATTGGTCAGTGCTTTGAGTTGAGGAAGTACTGCTGCTGTCAAGTTTTCAGGAAATGTTTGAGCTTTTTCACAGCAGCCCTGATGAGAAGTAACATAAACAACAATAAACAGGTAGAAGTAAATTATTCAAATAATTCAGAGAGGAAAGAAGAAAATGAGAATAAAGGAAGCAATTAAAACAAATTGGTGCTTTTAAGAACATTGCCTTGCATTTAAGTCAAAATTATTTAGAATTAAAATTAAGGAGAAAAATTAGGGAGGATTGCTAGAATGCCTACATACTGAGAATATAGTCACTTTCCTTACTTTCATGCAGGAAAAAAGTGTCTCTACTTGGTACCTAGCCGTAGAACTCTTAAAGCAGTAGGTAAAAAAATTGGAGAAACAATCCCAATGGTCAACGGGCATTAAAAAGCATCGGACAATTTTTTTTACAAGAAAATACTATAGATGTGCTGAGCTTGTTTGCTGATTTGAAGTCCTTAAATTAAAAATTCGGAATGTGAAGGAAAATCCGATCCCTTCGGAAAATCCCTGCATTTGAAAAAATTCATCAATTGGTCCTGCGTCATTCTTTCAAAATATTTGGACTGCAATCCATGAGAGAATCAGCTCTGTAAGTCGAAATGGCAAACCTATAATGCTCTGTGATTCAAAACCAGGATTGTGAGCGCTTTAATTCAAACTAGCAGAAACAACCTCTCTATAATTTGAAAAGATTTCAGTGGCTTGAGAGGGATATTGCGCATTTAATTAGACTTTCAGCAATACTGTGTCTTACACAGGAATAATTAATACTCAGATTAAGTATGTCCTCTTTCTTTCCTTCTTGTTTTGTTAATCAAGCTAGTGTTATTGAAAAGTTCAAGATTCAAAGCGGTTGAAGACAGTAGAAGAAGAAATTTAGACTTACTCTCATAATCTCACGAACACCTTTGTAGTCAACACCTCCGATTATTTTCCTGATGAGTTGAAAGCATCGAATCCAGTAGTCATCGTTTGTGTACACTAATTTCTCACTCATTAAAATACATTCACACACCATCCTTAAAAGAAAAAATTTAATGATTGATTCAACATTCGATGCTCATAAATGATGATACAAATTAAAAATTACTACTTTGTTCTTGTTGTGTTCATTTTAATTCCAGTTCATGGACTAACAGCCACTGGCAAGACAGGGCTCACAAAGGTGATAATTTCCCGACAATTTCAAAGACTATAAATGATAATTTCACATTTTACAATTCAATTTTGTTGAGACTAGGATAGTTTTTGAAGGAAAAATAGATTTCAAATGGTTCTTCATGGAATAGTGCCGACATTGGGGTAGGCAATTGGGGTGAGCTTCACGTTCTAATGGAGTTTGTGTTTTATACACTTATGTGAATGTATGTGTATACATACCGAGCAGAGAGAACATTGTTAGAGACAAAGTTTTCTAGAAGAACGAAGAGTTGTTGAATTCGGCTTTGATTGACTTTCAAAGTTGCTAGACCCAAGAACTGTTTTACGACAGCCTCAAGCTGGTCAGGAGGAAGAGCAGAAATGATCGTCTGTAAAAAAAGAGGATGTTCATGGAGACTCATTATACCTAAAATTATTCCAAGATCAAGTTAACATGTAATGCCCGAGTGTCCATGTTTTGAGCGGCTGTAAGGATAGTTATTTTTTTCACCTAACTTGCAAGGACTTGTGGAACTCTAAAATGTGTGAGGTTCATTAGTGTTTCACTCATTTATTGTTTTTAGAAGGACTTTTTATCAGAATTAGAAATATTACTAAAATTTTATTTTAAAAGAAGTTGATTGAACACACTCCCAAAGTTTGACAACTAAACAAATGATCAACTCACTCAACTCAGACAAAGCCCACCAATGGTAGAAAATCAATCTGTAATGAAAAGTGACTATTTGCAAATGAGAGCTAAGTTGTGAACTCCAATACATCAACGAAAGTGTTTGGTTTTGGGTAAAAATAATGGTGATGTGGTTCTTAATGTTGAATCATTCAACCATTGGATTTGATTATTCAAAGGACTCTCATGTTCATTTTTCTGAATCTTTAGTGTCAACTAACACCTGAGGCACAAAGAAAAAGGGCTAAGTAAAATTAAAGTTTATCAGACAAAGTTTTTCACCTGGAGCTCATTTTGAATTTTCAAAATCTTTTCTTTTTCTTCCGATTTGGATCGATGATACATGAAACTGTTGAATGCTTCTTCAATGGTGTCCACTTTCTGAAAAATGACGAGACAAGAAAATATGAGTTTCTTACCATGCTAAAATGCCTAATAAACAGAGCGAAGTATAATTACTGAGCCAATGCAGATAGAAAAAGGTGGTCTCATTTCGAGTTGAGACACCATTTCAGAGGATATTGACACGCAGAGGGTACATGCTTTGCCATGGAATCCGAGGCCGGACCACGGTGCACGGCAGCAATCAGCCTGCTTTAGTAGGTACCTGATACCGTGTGACATCAAGCGGGTACAAGATGCAACCACCATCGCTTATACACTTTGTTGAGACAAAGCGTTCGCTTATGAGCCTGAGCCTTTCATTTTGGTAAAAATAGGGTAAATGGCAAAGTAAAAAAGTTGGAAGCAGACTCTTGATTGAGTTAATTTGCACTAAAGCTGCGTTCCTGTTCAGTTGATTTGATGCATATTAGACGCAGGTTTAGTTTGACTCAAGAGAGGGAGTACATACTTAAAATTGAATTAGAGAGTTACTTCTGGCAGCCGTTGGCATTAGTGGAGGTGTTGTCAGCTAAGTTGGCAGTTGTTCACCTTCTGCTTGCAGGCGACTACGTTGCAATCATTCAATGGCGATCAAGGATTAACTGCGGCAGGATCGCACGTATCAATGCATCATGCGCAGAGACATAAATTGGCCTACTGTGAATGACTGCCAAGAGTAAACAACTGCCAACTTAGAGTTCGCGCACTAGATATATGTTGAGACAAATGTCAATCTCTGATGAGCTCTGGACTAGCACCACTCAACAGGTTGATACATGCACTCAGATAGCACCACCGAAGAGTGGGGGCATAAATAATACTTTGACATTTGTCTCCACATATGATACGCAAGCTCTAGCTTACAAAATCTCTAGGGTGCTGCAGCAGTTTCCGTTACCAGCCCTATTCTCAATGGGAATCTTTCAGCAGCCATGTAGAGGGCTCATTACCTACACAGCCATATTTTAATGAGTTATCCTGGTTACCAGGACTTCGACTTTGGCTAAGGCCGTCTTTCTGAAGTTTTCCCATGCTGTCTCTCATCTAAAAGCATTCTGTACAACTAGTTGCCTCTACTAATATCATCTAAGGTGCAAACAAAGCATGATAGAGGTGTCGTCAGATAAGTTGGCCAATGTTTACTTTTGGTTTGCAAGGGGCGACAATGAATTTACGCCTGCAGGGAGTGCGACCTCTTAAAGTAAGTATGTCCGTTCGCTACTCTGGCCCTATTCTGGCAAATAATAGAGACGTATTCTACTTACGAGCATGTCCAAAAGGACATTGTGAATCTGCTCAGTTCCCATTTCTGATGAAATATCATCAATTTCCTTTAGAAGACACCTCACTTTATCACTTCATTTCATTATCCGCCCATGATCCGGATCCGGCTTAGCATTTTGAAATCTGTAAAATATGTAAACATAACCTAGAGAGCTTGCTTGGATTAGAGTCATTGACATACGTCAATGATTAGAGTCCCTTTATAGCTTGGATGCTTGGTTGTTGTTGTTGTTTGTTTGTTCAGAATAAGTTGGCAACGTTGCACATTGTTGAGACCCGCCAGACCCGCGCATTTTAAAATACCTCAATTGACAAGTAAAGTAATTTATAAACATTGAAAAAAAAATCAGGTCGGTATAAATTTCCGAGTTTACACAAAAGCAGCTGGCCTATACTTAGCTGTCTTTTTAATGTGCTAAAAACGTAACATTTAGTTCAAGAGAGCCAGAGAAAACCGGCGAATTTCTTTTCCCCTCCCCCACCTCCTTTTAATGGCCCCCAGATGAAAACATTGAGGTTATCTCTTATCAATCATTCAATTTTCAATCATCGTGTTGAGTGTTAGTGTCAATAATTTCTGAATTATTTACATAAATTCAAATTCTTATATAAGTTTTATCCTCTTATCTATTTTACTTGGTTCTCAAGTGAGTTGTGGTACCTATGGCTTCTTCTTATAATTGAATATCTAAATCTGAACTGGTTTCCAAGTTGGAACTACAAATCATTCTTAGCGTTGAGTTGTTCGAATGATTTTCAATCAAGCTCTCTATTTTAATATATAAGTACTTATTGATGTCTATTTTAAACATCCTCTTACCTAAAATTTTCTTCTCTTCAGATCATCAATACAGGAAATCATCATGTCTACCGCAATCATCTCCCGTTTAGTTTCAGTAGAACCTGTTGTGAAAAAACAAGTTGAATTGAATAATGGAGTCCTCATGCCCATTCTCGGTTGTAAGTTCTGATTCTCTCTAAACTTGGATGAATGAATGAATGATTTTCACTTTCAAGAAGCACTAGAATACCAAATATCTTCCGGCATTACACATTAAGTTAAAGCTTGCGCTGAGTGCCACCAGGAAACTAATGTACATTCCAAGTTCAATATCTGGTTTGAGCATTCCTGCTTCACAAATTACCTTCGAAGATAAAGGATTGGGCAAAAATTCTGAAGGGTGGCAGAAAAGAATGGATGCTGTTAATATCCAGGGAACTGTCATAAACATTAACTTGCGGTTTGGACCAGATCCCTTCAAGTAAGAGAAGGAGTTTAAGAGGATAGGTGCAACTTGAGGATTTCAAAGAGGGATCCCCATTGTTTGTTCTCTCATTAAAAGTAACATACAGATAGAATTTTTTTGGCGAAAATCTCGAGTGCGAAAACCTTGCGCTTTGAGAGTTTGAATGGGTGTAGAGGTAGACTCTCACCGTAATGCAGGCAATCCTCCAAGTTATGGCCTTAACTTTGAAAGATTTTTTTGAGCTTAAGAGTTTGCCTCAGAGAGAAACAGTAGCCTCGTCGTGTTTCTCTAAAAATTTTACACAAAGAAAAGTATTTAAATTGCAAATTATCAATTTCTTTAAACACAACTCCCTTAAAACTACCTTGATTTTTCTTTTCTGAAAGCAGAATATTCTATATACATTTCAAGCTATGAGGTTGGCTTGTTTCTCATTGAAGAAATGAAAAAGAAGTGGACATTTTGAAACACTGCAATGGACATGCATACGTTGTTTTGTGCTTTAGCTTTTGATATGTCTATGCTCCAGGCCCAACTGGCATTTGAAACTGATTCCCATGTCTGAACATCAGTAACACTTCAATATCATGAAAAATAAGGAGAAAATTGGACAAAATCCATTTGAATTAGCCTAAACGCTTTTCATGTTGGCTAAAATGTCCTTCCCTGGTTTATTTTTTCTGATGAATGTAGTTACTTTGGCTGATTCTTGTGAAATCTATTCAATTTTGTTCATCTTTTCAATTATGTTTTTCCTGATTTCTGTTGTGATGCAATGCGCTGTCAATAAAATTTTCAAACTTGAACTATTTTTTTATTTTCCAGTCGGAACCTTCAGGATTAAGGGATACGAAGTAATACACTCAGTGTTAGACACCGCCCTTCAAGCTGGTTATCGCCTTATAGGTACTTAAGAACAATAATTATTTATACTAATCCTTCTTCATTCTAATGTTTCAGCAGTTACAAGAATCAATGGCTTGTTTCGTTTGATGCCTGCAATTTTATATTACTTATTTTTTCAATTGAACAAGATGTATTTTTTTGTGGCAACATCTTCAATATGTTAGGAAATAATTTATACTTTCGTTAGGTAATTTTTTTTGATCAATGAAACAGTAGCCGAGAAAACAGAGGTTAGAAATCCTGTTCATGTAGCCAATAAACTTGGGACACCGGCCAAACACATTCCGCTTTTTGCGGAGCAAAATAATGGATCAATACTTCCTCTTTGTGCAAAAAATTTCTCACAAAGTAAATACTTTCCATTTACACTTTGCAATGTCAAGAAAAGAGCACAAGCAAAACAGAAATGTTACGCATTTTTGCGAGACGTTGGAATTGTTTCATTAAATAAAGTAGGGCCAATGCATAGATTCAGAAGAGTGAGATCATTTTTGCATTTCTGAGCAAAAGCTATGGAACTCAACTCCAGATTTTAAGGCTTTTTTAGACAGAGTACTTCTCAAAAAAGAAGCCTAAGCATGTACTTTTTAAATTCTTTGAGGATATGTACTTCGTTCTCTACAGCATGTATTCTGAACTAACAAATTACATAGGTGTGGAAGTTACTTTGTTTTAGTCTACTATGTCCAAGAGATATTTGTGAAATCTGGAATTCAGAACTATGCCTCTTGTTTAGCAAGGCAGATATGCTCGTGCTCGCACAGTTCTATAACTTTTATCATTCTTATCAAGAGGATCAAATTGCCTAATGTAATTCTGCAATTTCTGATTTAGAAATTGTTTTGTTCTTTCCTTGCCATACCGCTTAGGTGTAAATTAGTTAGAACATTAGGTTGTTGTTAGTGAATAATAGTTTTTGAATAATATAGCATTTGTTTTCTGTACGTACAAGAAATCTTCATTATAAGTACACTTATACCTAACTGATGTTTTCTTCTTAAATTTTTAGTTTTTGTTTCCAAATAGAATTCTGTGAAGTTACAATAGTTCTGATTAATTCACTTTATAGGGGCTATCATCGCAGACACCACAACTGCATTCAATTTTTATTAATCATCATTTTCTTACTTCAATGCTTCTTTTAAGGATTCCCTGCAATGGAAAATTGCAGTAATGATCGAACCCTGAAAGGTTAGAAACAAAAACACATTTGATTCCATCTGTATTCTCATTCTCTTTTTTGTATTTGCCTAATAATAACCTTAGCATATTGAATACCATAATAATTGTGTATACTTATTATTTTTAGATACTGCAACCGTTTATCAAAATGAGGAAGATATAGGACTTGCACTTGAAAAACTTCTTCCGAAATACAATCTAAAGAGAGAAGACATTTTCATTACTTCAAAATTAGGTACCTATTAACTATATCAATCTGCTCCTATTCATCCTGAATGTATGCGTCAAGGTAGTCTTCGTGGATTGTTTAGTTTAGTTCTTTTCCTTCAACCTTCAATTGGGCACGGTGATTCATCCAATTTTCATCTTAAGCTAATTTTTCTCAAGGAGTTGGCAACATTAGGTGTATATTTAGCGTGGAGAGTGTTTATCTTTCAATTTTTTACACTTTTTCAAAATATACACATAATTTTGAGGTCAAACTGAATTTGACTCACTCAAAATTAAAAGAATTCCTAAAAGCCGCAGAGAGTAGGCAAAAATTGCAACCATAGTCTTCAAGACCCTTTAAAATAAAATAGAGACTATTATAATAGTTAAAAATGGAAAAAACCCAAAAACTTGCTCACAATACAAGTACATCACTCTTGAGGTCGAAGGTACCTATTAAGAAAAGCAACCTTAAATTTAAAAAAGTAGCCGCAGAATGTGACCCTCTGTTAAATTTTTACAATGAAAAAATCCATATACTTAAGTAAAATCACACTTTCTTGCTACACCGTGTGGATGCATTAGAAGTGTGTCAAAATGACAGTTGTATCTTCCCTCCTTGAACCTTAGGTGTGGCGATTTATCCAATTTATGGCACCTCAGGACAATTTTCTTGGATACTATGTTCATCTCAAAAATGTAAATGGCCCTTAAATTAAAGTAGGCTACTTAGGAGTAAAATCAAAACAACTCCTTAAAATTAGCAGAAAATGTCAATTATGTATCTCAGAGCCGTTTAAAATCAATAGGAGGCTTAATTAAATGCTTTAAATGAACAGTGCAGGGAAAAATACCAAGAAATCACTCTTCAAAAGAGCGATTACAGTTTACAAAAGGGAAAGATATCATTTTTCAATTCTGACATTTTGGGTTTGAAATGCTGTTGCACCTCTGAGTGGGCTCTGATCAAAATATTATTTGGCATTGAGTCTACCTAAGCTTAGTGCTTTGAAAACATATGGCAGTTGGCAAAATCCAGGAGGGGCTGGAAAATGAGATGGTGATGGCGAAAGCAGCGTTAAGATGCCACTCCTCCGCAACTTTCTCTGTCTATTGGTATCACTGGTAAAATATTTCAAATATCTTATATCTCATATTACATGAATTTAGATATGACATAGGGAGACTTGAGTAGACAAGTCGCTCCATAGTCGCCTCCGCCTTGAAGGACACTTACAATTTCAAGTAGGTGCTGATGTTAATTTTTTTCTGACTTAAATCTCTGGTAGAAAATTCGAGCCTTGATAACTTGGATAAATGCTTCTTTGGATGATACAGTCTCAAACTTCAATTCGAATGTCGTGATTCCCAGAAAGTCTTTTTTTTTTAGAAAATTTCAAGATGTCATCAAATTTTCAATTCTTCGGTAATGTTCCTTTGTTTATTTTGCAGCACCATCTGACCATGGTAACTACGATGTTGTCTCTAAGGCTGTTAAATTATCTTTAAAAAAGTTAAGGACTTCTTACATTGATCTTTACCTTATTCATTGGCCTGGTCTTCAAAAAACTCCCTCAGAAAATGATGACAACTTAAAAGGGAGGTCTGAGTCTTGGGCAGCATTGAGTAAAATTTATTTGGAAGATAAGACTTTACGATCCATTGGCGTTTCCAACTACACATCCAAACACCTCAACCAGCTTCTGAGCAAACCCAGTGCTGTTGTTCCAGTTGTAAATCAAGTGAGTTTTCAATCTATCTTCTAAAATAAAAGCAAAGGAAAACGGTCTTTTCTTTGTATCCACTTTTAGTCAGAGGAGTTGGTTTTTTTAATTTACGTTTTTTCTCTCAGAGAAATCAGTCCAGCAAAATTAACACTTTTACCCATTTTGATGTATTTTTAAGTTCACTTTTGACTGCAAAATCAGAGTTCTGTTTTTAAGAATTTATAAGTTATAAAAAAACTGTCACTTTTGGAGCTTTCTTGTTTGTCATCTTTAAATAAATAAAACAGGGGGAAAAAATTATTGCAAAACAAAAATCTGTTCAAACTAAACAGTATTTTCTATCTACTTGTGCGGAATTACCACTGACTCAAGGGTTCACGTTTTCTTTTTATTTTCAACTGAGTCAATAATCATCATAATGCACCCTAAATTAACGCAATATGTCATTTGGCTATTTCAGGGCATTTTTCAGGGCTATTCCAGTCAAATCATTCAACTGGTAGATGAGTGTCTGTTAAGGTTCAACTAAAGAATGGTCAGTCTTGTCAATTTACAACTACTAGTTTAGAGGCTGATTTTCATGTGGTACTATTTTCACATGCTAGGCTTCAACTGGAACTTTAGACAAAACATTCATTCCGATTCTTGGCGTTTCACTGGCTCACAAAGGGACTGATTTGACCACCTGCACACTACCCTTTGCAAGGGTTGTTCAGTATTGTCTCGTTCAACTGTCAATTGAATTTTTGGCAAGGGGTTCCCAGGCAGTAGATAGAATCTGGTGTAAGGTATGGGGAAACAAATCATGATAATGCACTATGTGGCATGTAGTCTCTGTTGAGTAATTGGAGGTCAAAAATCAGTAACACTAAGACTCTCCTCTAGGTCGAACTGGAAGTTACCTTTAACCAGTAGTTAGTTAACTAGCAGTTGAGACCCAATTTAATAGGAATAGCTCCTAGTTTTACCAAAAAACCAAAGGAAAATAAATTTTAATTCGCTGTAACACTGGAATATTTTTTTTTTTTTTTTGTTACTTTAGGTTGAGTTTCATCCATACTGGCAGCAATCAGATGAATTTCATGAGATTCATAATAAGGCTAATATAATTCCTCAAGCTTATTGTTCATTAGGCGGTTCCTCTGTTCATAAACTCCTTGAAGACCCTATTGTAAAAGCTGTTGCAGAAGAAAATAAGTTTACCTCAGCTCAGATTTTGTTGAGATGGGCTCTACAAAGAGGATACGGTAAGCCATTTTTCCATAAAATTAATATCATTAGGGAGTTCTACAAATTTTAATCTCAACTGTTTTATAAACTGGGTTCCTAAGAAAGCGAAATTTAACAATTTTTTATCCTTTTACTCTGAAAGTCGTTTCTACGCCAGCAGTGATAAGTTTCATTGTGTGTATAAGTGATAAGTTTCATTTTTAAGTAACAAGTGACAAGGAATTAGCAACAACTTCCAACATAGAAATGAGGAGCACTTGGTACTGGACTGGATTAAACTAACCCAGCGACTCAATACTGAAAATGAGAACCTTCTAATATTACGCCTCTCAAAGAATTCCAAAATTTTAATCTATTCTACTGTAAATTTTCCATCCCTTGGATCTTGCAGAAAATGATGATTGAAAACTCTCTTACTAATCCTTTGTTTTCTTTATCGGGAACTACGTGATTGACTGACTTACTTTCTTTTTCGCCCAATGAATTTGAATGAAGTGACAACCGAAAAATTCATCGGGCGAAATAGAAAGTAAGTAAGTCAATCGAAAACTCTCTTGTAGATTAACGAGCAATGGCAGTTAATATAAATTTCTGTATCATGTGTTCACAGCTGTCATTCCAAAATCCGTGACTGCAGGCAGGATTCAAGAGAATGCAGACATCAATTTCTCGTTATCTGATGGATCCATGACATCCCTTTCCAACATTAAAACTAGTGAAAAATTTGCTTGGAATCCTGATGTGGTTTCTTAGTATCACCACAATCTTCTTTCACCCATTATATTGCTGTAGGAGTCAAGGAGACCCTTTTGTCAAAAAGAGCCAACGAACCTTAAGTATTCTTAATGGACCATTTATTTCTCAACAATGAAACTGGGAGGACGAGCGAATATCACTGTGAACTGAGTGCATTCGTTTTTTGATCAACTACTGCCACTTGATAATTTTTTGCACCGGAAATTGTAGGGATTATAAAGGGGTTCAACGCTGATCAAATTACAGCTTTTTTGATTTGATGTTTGTTTTGAATTTTTGAGGACAATATGGTGGAGAAATTTTACTGTTTTGTTACTACTTTTCGGTGAAAATCAAGCTTGCAACGATAATTTCATATCATTTTACAAGGGTTTTTAGTGAAGAAGTGTTACAATTGTTGCACCACTGCTGTCACTTTTACTTTTATACAAACTTGTTTCGTTTGGAAGTTGATGCTAAAATATGCCGCACCCTGTTATCACTCCACGATTTTGGTTTTTTTCGAGCCAAAAATGAAAGAATACCAGTGTACACGTCTCCAAATTGTGCATGTCCGTGGCTAGCACGGAAAAAAGTTTTTTTTTATCATCACCAATCTGGTGTTGCAGCACTTTTATTAGAAAATAGTCGGTGCTATGAAATTCGCTTTTCACCTTTGCTTTTATCAAAATAGGCATTTTTTGCTTTAAAACTATTATCGATAATTCTTGTTTGTCAGCTGAATCGTTTATTATTCCTCTCAGGATCCCGACTGTACACAAAAAAATTTCATTAAAGATGCATCATTTGGAGAAAAATGCTGCCTTTACAAAATTTATTATGTAAATTATCCTGAATTTGAGCAGCAATGGTCTTTTTTTAAGTCGAATCAACAAATGAAAGAGTGCAGCTCATATACTTTAACATAATTTAACAATATATCTCCAAGACTGAGTCAAATGCAACTTACCTTTTCATGCTACGCAATGAGCTTGTTCAGTAATAATTTTTAATTCTTGCATTTTTGAAAACTAGAGAGTGCACACAGTTCACAGGAATTTTCCTCGATTTTTTGAGCAATATTTACTCGTGAAATACGAGTTCAAAGTTCCATATTTTGAGCTCCCATTTAAACGCGCGTCGCTCGGGTACTCCAAGATGGCGTCCATTCTATCCGTCCGGGAAAATTCCTGTGAACTATGTGCACTCTCTAGTTTTCAAAAATGCAAGGATGGACCACTAGACAAGGTATGAATTTAAGCAATCTGATACATGTTCCTAAACCAAAATTTCACGTAGAACACGATTCGCGCAACGAAAATTACTGAAACCAACTCCTAACGAAGATATTAACGTTTTTATTTCACACTGGTTACGAGGAATTTCAACTGCCCCCTCACAAGAAACTCAAAGCTCTACGTGAGTCAAATCGCGCACTACAACGGTTTCAGCAAGCTTCTCAATCGAGCGATGTTCATTTCCAGCCATGTGTTGTTCTAACTACAAGCAATTTGCTATAGCTGAGCCGAAGCGTCAAGATTGAGGATGCCAGATTTTTATATCGCAGAGACTGTAATGATAACGTTTAGCGTGCGATGTGAATCATGTAGAGCATTGAGTTTTCATGAGTGGATGGTTTGAATTCACGCATCAAGAATCATTAAATATCTTCGTAAGGAGTTGATATCGGTAATTTTTGTTGTGCGCATCATGTTTAACGTAAAATTTTGGTTAAGGAACAAGTATCAGAATAGTGAAATTCGTACCTTGTCTAGTGGTCCACTACGAATTACTAAACAAGCTCATTAAGATCCACTGATTATATCGAAGTAAACAAGATCAATTTTGCAATACCTTAGCAGTGATACGTGATTCGCATGTGGCAGAAAGGAACCAATTATGAAATCGTGAATAGTTCATCTTTGCCCACAAGAAAAAAAAATTGCTTAGATTAGTAAATAGTTTTTGTTTCCCTACCAAGAAGTATCTAATTATAAAGAAAAGAGATCGTGTAAATCTTATTTCTGTATTTACCTTTATATTTATAAAGCAAAGGAGAGGTCGCACGATTTTGATAACACTGTACACAACTATCCTTCAATCACTTGCTTCTTACAAGCATCGAATGCTATAGGACACACCGAGAAATTTTGGAGCCACACTGAGAAGAGAAGAGTTTTAAAGACCCTTTTGCTTAGAGTTCCACTGGACCAAATTGGAAGCTATGCACCTGGTGCATTAGAAAGTTGAGAGTAGGGGCTTTGCGATATTTTTCATCAATTGTTTCTGTTAATGTACATATCTATTTTAGTTTATTACTTATATAACAGGTAAACTTACTTTATAAACAACTTTTGTATTTTCTGTTGAAGATGACAGTATTCTTATATTGTACAGCATTTTTAATTGATTGTTTTTAAACTAGAAAGTTTATCATAAAATATTGGTTTAATCAATCAAAAAACGTACGTTTGTTTAATTCTGATAACTGTGAAATTCAATTAATTGATCGAAAAGTCACCTCGTGATTTCCCCATGTCATTTATGAGGTCCTTTAAACTCAATTGAAAATTTAAAACTTGCATGACATTTAGAATAGGTGACAAGTTTCTTCAGATTTTAAAAATTCCTGATTTATCCAAGATATTGGACTTAAAATTATTTTTCATAAGTCACGTCATTAGCTTAAAGCAAAAGGGATGCAACTATATTTTTTCTGTTTCAAGATATCATAAAGAAGTTGTCTGGTGGTCCTACTGCTTTTCATGGTTTTGCATGTGACATTGGATATTGCTAGTGATTGTTTTCACCAGAACAGAGCCCTTCCTAGCATTTTGAGAATGTTCGCAGCTTACTTTTTCTTTAAATATAAGTTAAAATCCCTCTGCTCCAAACCCTATATTTGAAGCAGATTCCAAGTGTCATTAGAACCGTAATTATAGCTGATGAAAAGTTTTGAGAAGATAGGAAACTTCAAGGTCTCATATGTACTTGAGTGCAAATTGTCTATTCCAGGTTTCTCTTCGCATTTAAAGTGTGACTGTGGAGAATAAAATTATTAACAAGTTAATATGTAGTCAGTGTAGAAGTAGCTATTCCAGTAAGAGGTTTTGCAAGATAAAACTGTAATTTTCATTAAAGGTGTCTGATTGTTTTGGTTCGATTTGTTATAATAAATCGGTTTTATCTACTAAGGAGAGAAATAAAAATCACAGACTAAACCAAGTACAAACAACAATTTTAATTTTAATAAATAAATTGGCAAGATTACTGTTACAAAAGAAAGAAAATCATGAGGACATTCACTTACATTGATAGAAAAAAAGAACATAGGTTGGGACTATCAATTATACGGTTGCCAGAAACTGATTACTTAAAAATTATGACTAAAATGCATTTGAGCCTTAAACACTGGATTTAAGAGTGTAGAATCTTTTATTGGTTGAGTTTGGGCCCGGGTCAGTCCATTTAAGATTTCATTTTGCTGTTACCGCTACTTTTTTCACAAAACCAACCCAGTGGCATGGTGTTTTGTACATCATTCCTCATGAAAATTTTGCGCTGAATCCAAATCCGTGCTTGAATTGCAGGAATTTTCTTTTTTTATGGCTCAAATTTGATCTGAAATGCTGAATTTGTCATTACCGTAACCTGTTACCGGTCGAAAGTCTCAACTTTATCGCTGAATTCAAGCAAATATATACATAGTCACAGGCTTCTGAAATCAAATATGGCTTCAGCATACTTTGAATTGATAATTCTTTCTTTTTAGAGCTATATTTTCCTCTAAGTCTTCGAAAAAATTGCCATCTTGTGCTTGTTACTCGATTTGGTGTCATTACCGTAACCCCTTGTTCTGGAGCAAACTTCGGCTGCTTGGCGACAGAACCAGTTCGAACTTACATTCGTTGATGTTTGTGTTGGAAGGAGGACCCATGGTGAGTAGCTCTCTATTTTTTACTTAATCATAAAGTAATATTCGTTCAATTTACAGTGATGAATTGAGTTTTGTCCAACTCTCAGCTGCCATTACCGTTACCATATAAAAATCCACCAAGGATTGAAGATATCATCAAACCTACTTCATTTATGAACGCATGGCATTCAACCAACCCCAAATATGAAATCTCACCTTCCTACAACAAGCCCATGTCTCCTTTTGGCGCAAAATTTGAATGTTTCTCATTACCGTAACCATCATTACCGTAACCATAACCATCATTACCGTAACTTCCACCCAGACCGTCTAGGGTGTACGGTAATGATGCAAGAGTTTCAGTTATGACCAACTATCTTTTTTAATGAATCTATAGCGGCCTTTTTAAGTTTTTTAGGAATAATTTCAGTTGCTTGAGATTACCTTGAAATATATCTCTGTCTTTTCCTTGTCCACAGACGTTTTAATTGGAGAAAAATGTCAACCCCATATGAGAAATGGTTTCAGAACTTACAAGAAAAACTGAAAGTCAGTCAGTTTAAATCAGCACAAGAAAATGGCCCATCAGATACCACCAGCAATACCGTCTCGTCCTGCCTAGAAAGTACATCAATACGATCCGAGATAGTCTTATACTATTTATTGCTAGTTTTGCTAGTTAAAAGTTCTATTTTCTCTTGACTATTATTATGATTATTTTGTTTGGAGATCTCACTAGAGATATTTTTGTTTACGTTACCTACATTTCTTCTCAAAGAAATTTTCTCTTTAGCATATAGGTGGTTAAATAAAGTCCCATTTTTCCTCTATTATAATTATTTTGTTTAGTGATCTCATTAGAGATACTCGTTTAATGTGAAATTGGTTGATTTCTGCCATTTCTTTGACTATTTATTTATTTCAAATGATTTGGTTTGGTCATTTTTTCGAATTTTTGTACTGCTTTAATACAATGTTTCTTTAGAAATCAGTGCTTTTTTCCTTCAGCCTTGAGATCCTACCCCATCCATAAGGCCGTCATGCATAACAATAAATCATTACACTATACTTACAGTCATTACCGCTCCTATTTATCATTACCGTAACCGGCTTATTTTTCTTGCAAAAAAATTGGGGGAAAAGCTGTAAATTTACAATTTAGGGGGAAATTACAAAATATAAGTTTAGCTCTTTATAGAAAAATCTTTACATGCAACCTTATCCTTTTCTCTCGAATGTAGGACAATTTAGAACTCAAAAAAAAAAACAAAAAATTCCGAATTTGACATTGAAATTTGTTTAAATAAAAGTTTTAATCATAACTTATCCAAATATTTGTATTTATTTTGAACTATCAGACTTTAAACTAAACAAAAAAAATAAAAAAGATCAGTTTCCACTTCTTTTGCGTGTGCTGGACTAACAAAATAAATAGGTTATGGTAATGATGAGTTTTTTCAAAAACTCTCAAAAATCACAAGAAATAAAAAAAATGGTGCCGAAAAGAGCTATGCCACTGTCCAATAATTATTCTGAGGGGTTCAAAGGTCCCAAAAAATATCATATACAAGTCACTTACTGACTTCCAACTGCTGTGAAAGTCTGATTCTGAAAATGAAATCATAAATGGACTGACCCGGGCAAGAATGTATTAATTTACCCGTATCTAGAAATATGGTTGTGATAACAGTAAATGGGAATTTACTGAGAAAAAAGTCGATGACCCCACTTCAAGAAAGCATGTTTTGTTGCCAAAGATTTCCGACAAGGAAATGGGGACCGTACTTGAGCTCTGGTGGCTGGAACGGTGACTGTTCTAATTTTTTCCATGATAGCTTTTGAGAACAATCTATGAATGACTCACATGGATGTCATAAGTGCAGTCTTAAATGCAGATATGAAGAATGAGGTCTATGAGTAACTGCTAGAGAATGCACCAGAGATTATTACAGGGCTTAACGACACTTTAAAAGTTTGTAAGGCTATAACAGGGACCTAAATGTTGGCATGTATGACCGTTCACATAAGTAAGCCATTGATAGAAAACAGATGCACATAGTTACAAGTTGATCTTTGTTTTTACTTCAAACACTTTAATTTTAATCCATGTTAATGAATACTTGTCATATTACGAATGTTAAGCTACAGCTGAGATTATAACAGAAAGTTTATTCAGAGAGGTTAAAATGGTATTTCTTGATATGGGAGACAAGATCAAATTTCTTGGATTTGAAATTCCTTGAACAACGGATATTGATAAGAGTCCCCTCGGGGTTCTTGTTGGCTCACACCTGGGTGTGCTGGGTCTCACAGGCTAAGCGAACTACTTCGGTAGATACCTGCTTTCCCATTGGCCTTTAAGAACTCGGTACAACCAGGCAGCGGATTGGGCTCTTGAGCCCCCTGGATGCCCAGACGCCAAAGGTCATAATCCAAGAAATGAGCCCAAGGGCTTGTTAGACTGTTTGGGGAAGCGACCCAGTGCTTCATAAACCCAAGTGCTTAACAATGCTGACAGCTTTGAGCCTGCAGGAACTTGTAATGGATATGGACGACGTTACAATTTTAAAGAGCATCACTCGGGGAGATGCTCACCTCGGTGCGGGTAACACCCACAATAGGTCCCTGACACGGTAAAATTCTGTAGAAGCAGCATCCAAGGTTGAGGCACTAGCGTCCTCCAACCTTTATTCAATTGCCGCCACCCCAAAAACGGACAACGAACTGAGAGGAGTGTTGAGGGCTGTGTCATTGGTGACATGGCTGGCGCCCTTGAGCTCCTGACCGACAGGGTCGCCACCCTGGTGGTTGAGGAGCTAGTAAAGCTCACCAGCGGCGCAGTCGAGGGGATGTAAAGACCACGGCGGAAGGTCTTTCAGGAACCGCCTTAACAAGAAGGTGGCTGGTTACCGAGCCTCCTGTAGATCAGGAGAAGCAGCTATTTATGAGGCAAAGCTTATTAATGCAATTTTCTCCCTCAAGAAGAAAGAAAACATGCCTAGATCTATGACACATATTTTTTTTTAACGAGATTTGGTCACAAGAAATCAATTGGTGCAGCAAAGGGTTTGACTCACAGACATAAAGAGATTAATTATGTCAAGGCGGCTCTGTTGAAATGTCTCCTTCATGTTTTTACCGATTCATTTCCATAGCTCCAATTTCTTTCATAAAGTATTTCGTTTCATTATGTATACAATGACCAGGCACAAAAATGAATGCAAATTGGGCAGAGAACGGTTTTTTTTTTTAAAATTAAGCATGGAATAAAATCAAAATTAAATGCTTGCTCTGGGACGAATCCTCTTGAAATTTGCTGCTTTTGTCCTCATCCTCATCTTAATCCTGTGAATCCAGGCCGTTTTCAACCACATCTCCTCCCATTGCAGCAGAACTCGAACACAGGCCTTCTATGCTGTCAGTGCGTCGTTTATTCATGTCTTGTGTTCACCTTTGACATTCCATAAAATCACCATTTACCTCTTTCAGGCTCCTATAAAAACAAAAAAGTCGAAACCGTTCTCCATTAGTTTATGCAAAAAATCATGAGAGATTTTTCTTAATTGTTTGAAGCTTGTGTTCATATATTAGCAAAGAGAAAAAGATAAAAAAGAAGGCTTAAAGGCTTAGTTTTTACGTACAATATTAACGAAGATATCGCCCTTTGGAAAACAGGTGTTCGGCGTTATTCACCACTGTTGTATACACTATGGATTCTTTCACCTTTGGTTCATCAATATATGATACACACATTAGCAACTGCTTGCGCCACTTAAGAAACGGATAAACCTAGGGTGGAAGAAACTGCAGTATGCATCACTACGGTGGATGCCTTCATACACTGTATTTTTTGAGGGATCATGTCTCCTTCAATATTGATTGTGAAAATTTAGTGCTTAGACAGATCTAGTAATTTTTTGCTAATCTTTAATCTGAGTTCATTAAAATACTAAACTGGGCCATTCTCTTATAAATTATTTTAATCATGATTATGATCTCATCATGTCAGAGTTTGGTTTTTTAGGGTGCAATGAGTTGATGAAGTATTACACCATGGGATTCTTGTATCAAATTCTTAATAACTGTATTAATTCTCCTGATTTGCTAAGTTATGTTGTCCTTAGAGTTCCACTATGAATAACCAGGAACTGTTCTGAATTATTTGGTTTGAGTAAGATAACTGAGTTCAAGTTATCGTATTTTTTCTTCTATTTGTTCTATTGTTCTATTTTCTTTCTACTTCTATTTATTGTCATTTGTTATAGCTTGGCAATGGGCCTGTTGCAAATTGTTGCTAGAGCAAAAATAAGAGTTGTTACTCATAGGAAGTGTCTCAAAAATCACAATGAGCACATCGGCTAAGTCTAAAATGCACTCTTTAGTTCACAATTTGTAAAAGAAATTTGCGTTTTTTTCGAACTTCCTGCTTCAAAAACGATACCACGCACAGGTAAACATTTCGTTAGAGGAGCCATTCCATCCAATCCCTGCTCACAAGGATACTACGCAATATTCAACACAGCCGACGCCAATTCGCCAGAACACTTGTGACGGGACGATGATTCTAGCCACTTAATAACAGTCGGCGTGTTTACGTTCGCATTTTTCTCGCGTTGATAGATATCCGCCTTGATTGACCTGGTGTTTTCCTCAACTTGCACACGGAAGCGTCGGCCATGTTGAGCAGGGATTGAATGGAACGACTCTTCTAACGAAATGTTCACCTGTGCTGTGGTATCCTCTTTGAAGGGGGAATCTTAAAAAAACACAAATTTCTTACCCAGATTGTGAAGTTAGGAGTACACTTCAGAGTTTGCCAATGCGCTCATAGTGATTTTTGAGACATTATCTATAAGGAGCAACTCTTATTTTTGCTCTACCAAAATTTTGCAACAGGGCCATTGTCTCCCTGAAACAATAGATCTTGTTTTTTTGTTAATTTTTTGTTTTGAGGTTTTAGGTAAGGCCAAAATTACCTTATTTAGCTTCTATTCTCGTTTTGTATTAGACTTTGTTATTTTTGCCCTGATGTTGTTTTCTTGTGTATTTTCATTGTTTCTTTGAAGAGTGGATGAATTTTTCCATGGGTTGTGGAAATACATAAATAAATACAAAAATAGACACCGAATAAGAGCCTCTACTTACATGAATGATACTTGTTAAGCCAGCAATTTGTGAAGCATTCCGTTCAGTCTGATGAATCATAATCTAAAGACACAAGAGAATTAGAAACAGCACTACTGTTCAGCTTCTTTTCTTCACAAGATGAGATGGGGCGTTTAGAGATAGGCTTCTTAACACCAACTTTGACTTTAGAGCAATTTGGAGAGGAGAAGTTCAGATTGTTCACTTTTGTTCTCACTTCAGCTCGCTTTTGTATTGCACCTGAAAATATGAGAAGCAAAAGTTACTATTTGAACAGCACACACGAACTTATGACAAGGAAGCTAAGCAGTTCATAAAGCAATTTTAGAATTTCAAACTTGGATTGCAGCCTCCCATCTGATATGAAATCTTGGTGAAAGAAGAAAAATATTGTCCTAATTTTGGACAATAGTTTTTCTTCTCTTCTCAATCCATTGACAACAGCAGCTATTTCGGGTGAATTTACCTATCTTGAGGTTCTATGATATTGAAAAATACGTTCGCATTTTTCTTGCATTGATAGATATCCGCCTTGATTGACCTTGTGCTCTCCTCAACTTGCGCGCGGAAGCGTCGGCCATGTTGAGCAGGAATTGAATGGAACAACTCCTCTGACGAAATGATCATCTGTGCCGTAGTATCCTTCTTGAAGGGGGAGTCTTAAAAAACGCAAATTTCTTACCCAGATTGTGAAGTTAGGAGTACATTTCAGAGTTTGCCGATGCTCTCATCGTGATTTTTGAGACATTATCTATGAGGAACAACTCTTATTTTTGCTCTAGCAAAAGTTTGCGACGGGCCCATTAGGTTGGACTAGATTATGTGAAGTAAGGTTAAGGAAAGGTAGGCTTAATTAAGGTCACATTACAGTCAGGTGGATTATAGTTGAATAAGGTGAGATATAGGAGAATGTTTCTTGAATAAGAATACAATTCAAGAGATATCAAAAGTAGAGTATACAGTTTTGTTACTTCCATGATCATTGACGCCATTCCGTAGGAAACGGTAGGGGAAGACGGGGTAATAAGAGAGACCATGGGGTAATAAGAGAGTGACACCCTTATTTGAAGAGTTGTATTTGAGTTACAAATTTGAAAAAAATAGGGCATATGCACCTATCAGTAAGTAACACTTCCTCAAAGTTTCAATGTTTTTCGTGCTTTATTTTAGCGAAAAAAAAAATGTAAATATTTTTAAAAAAAATGTTCTCTTATTGTACCCCCTGGGGTAATAGTAGAGCAGGTCTGTATCTCGTATGAAATTTTAATTGTAAGCACGGAAAAGTATATAAGATCAAGCATTACATTACTCTTAATAGCCCTGCAAAATTTGAGTGAGATCGGACTAATAGTTCTTGAGTTATGAACTTTTGACACTTGAAAATCGCTAAGTTTAAGAAATGAATTCAAAATGCAAGTTTTAGAAATTGTATCAAAACCATACCCAAAAAAAAATCCCCAATCCCCCTGCCCCTGTGTGCCTGCCAATTCTCTTTAGTGTAAGGCACCCCTAGGCCCTTCTTTTTTCGGTTTCGAGTCATTTAATCTAAAAAAAGAAAATCACCAACAGTTTTAGTGTTCATTCTACTATTGTACCCCTCCCTGACATAACCTCACTCTCTTATTAGCCACAGGGGTCACCGCTTGGGGCCAATAAGAGTAGAGCATTATAAATCAGTAAAAAAAAAACTAATCTAAAAAACCAAGTATCAGGAAGAAGCCCCATATCCTAAGCTACAAAATGATATATAGTTCGATTTTTTATGAATATGTTTACTTGACTTTATGTTGATTAAAGCGCCGAGGTACCCGAACTTCGAAACCCAGTTCAAAAAGAGGTTATGTTTACACGCTGGTCCTGTCCCAGCCACTTTTCCGATTCGGCCTGGAATTAAATACAAAACGCGGCAATGGACCAAGATTCGTTCCCCACGGCGGTAGTTCTGTTATCACTCACCAGAGAGCGGCAAAATCCAATCTACCTTATTGTCCCACTCTCTTATTACCCCGTCTTCCCCTATGTGTATTTTTTGACTGAGCATGATGTTGACAGTTGTTGACACCGTGCTATGTGATCTACATTAGTATCATGATTTCACAACTTACTTTTAGAGGGCTTCCGAGCTAACAAAGATGCAAGTTTCACATCATCTTCATGTTCAGGAACCAGAGATATATTCAAGGATGACTTAGCCAATAAATTGCTGTCCAAAATTTCTTTGGCTTTTAGTTGTTTCTTACTTTTCTGAAAGAAGAGGGAGGATAAATTCAGACATGTGCCAAAAACTTACTGAAAACAATCAATCTTCTTATGAAAAGAGCAATAGAAGACAATTGAAGTACACTGGAAATAAAATCATTATCATTACCATTAATAACAACTAGGACTGGTAACGAAGGAAATAACATATTAACATTGAAACAATTGAACATGGATTGATTTCATGATACATCACTTACGAGCACCAAGCATTGCATAGTGCCCAGGAGTGGCTGAAGAAACTTTTGAATACAGAGTGAGTTTTAAGAACATCACTGTCTGAAATTGACAAGTTTGCAGTCGATGATGAGAACTTAGGAATAAAGGTTTCAATCTTGCACAGATACAAACGGCCTACTAAAATAAAGGTTGGGGAGTATGTGCAAAGAGAATGGATAAATTAACCACGTAATCAAATGGACAAGCCTGACTTTGCAGTTCTTTCCGATACCTCACTCCCCATATAAGCCTGCAGATAACCCGCACCCTAGATTTTGAGAGGGTCAAAAGAAACAAAAAAATTCCTTGTAACCCACAAGCACCCACAGTGATCTGTTTCGCTCGCATTGTCAAGTGGTCCCTGATAAGTATGCAATTTCCGTGAGTGTCCAAGATAACCCTCACTCTGATTTTCAATCTTAGAAATCGGGAAAAAGGTGCGGGTTGTCTGCGGGCGTATACAGTACCTTAAAATCTGCATGTAAAGGAGCACAATTATAGGATTAACTTTTTATGAAGTTTTAAAAAATTGAATTTAATGAGTACTTATGATGAATGAGGAACGCAAGACATTCAGGGAGCTAAAAATGTAGTGATCTCTTGGTCATTGTGTTCTTTCATTGGCGAGCAGACTGCCTGGAGGAGAAGAAACGATAAATAAAAAAGGATTGATTTCAAAGACCCACTTCCTAATAGGCCACCAAAAGTTTGACAATTATAGATGCCAAAATATCATCATCGGGAGAATATTCCTTGTTTGTAATCTGCTCCTCTGTTGTCTTTTAATCCTTCCATAATACAAAAGAAGAAACACGTCCACCGGTTTGCACACTCCCTTAACTACAGACGAGTTGAAACATACTTCCTGTAGCAGAGACTCCTCAAAGTAAATAAAATCAGAATTCTTCAGTGCTTGGAGCCCTCCTCCAACGCAAGGATATGCCTAATTTCTATCATGAATATACCAGCATTATAATTCATATCCTCATCTAGGATACTTTGCACTTTACGGTGAGGATAGGAATTGCAATTCTGATATTTTCATGACAGAAAGTTNGGGGGGGGGGGGGGGCTCAAAGTGTTCACAAGGTGTCATCAAGACCAATTTATATAGGTCCATCATTTCCGAAGATAAGTTTTGGAACTCTACTGTGCGGTAACGTAGAGCTGGCTGTTTTCATTGCTGGAAATTGAAACAGAATGTATTTCTCACGGGAGCAGCCAATGTGACAATTGTGACATCACACTGGCTGCAGCCGAGTGAAAGCCGAGAGGGGGAGTGGATCTCAAGGAGATGCACAACGACTAACCAGTATGGATTGGCCTTGGGTGTCATTATTTATCAGCGCCTGGTTTGTGGAGTCTCCATTGACTGGTAAAGGAAGGTTAAGAATAAATGATGGTTGATTTTTAAAAAAAAAACAAAGTGACAGGAAGATTAGACATACCCTAAATTGTGCTCTCATGGCTTGATTGGCAGCAAAATCATCCTTCCACACTTTAGTTTGCCTATGCAAGAGTTTAGATAGTGCTGGTGCTGCTTTTTTTGCTGAGTTTGTATCATTAACACCATGCTCTAACTTGAACATTGCATCATCAAAGAGTCTACGACTGGTTGCTTTATCCTCAGGTACAATTTGTTCATTTTGTTTAGGATCCCATCGATTTTCTTGTCGCCTTGCTCCACTCACAATGATGTAATCCAAATTCTAGGGAATAAAAACCATTATTAAGCATTCCATAAAAAGATTCCAACAATGTTCTGCCTTCTCCAGGAGTCATAGGACGAAAATCGGGCATTGGCGCCTCAGAATTGGGGGAGGGGGAGGAGGGAGGCTGTGCCATTCAGGTGGATAGAAACGTTAATGCACCTCATCAATTTTTTCACACTGGTGACCACAAATCAGCTCTCTGTACACACCATTTGAAGTGCAGCATCATAGCCAAAGACTGAGAAGATTCGAGGATGGGACAGAGCCACGGAGTGCAACAGCACAGTGTTCGAAAAAGTCGATTAGGCTTAAATAAAAGTTTAAAGAGGTAAAAAGGCTCCTGAAATTTTAGAGGGAAGGCAGAGCTTTTCCATCTTAACTTTGGTTTACTGGTGAATGCTTTCTTTTTTTTCCTATTCAAAGGGCTTTTGAAGGTACGTCATTCAGAAAGACCAATTTGAAATGGATGCAAAATTCCATAAAGTAATATTGGCTTGGTTCATTATTTAAATTTCATGAAGAAAAAGTGGAATTTTACTCTCATTCCATTTTATTGTTAATAATATTAACTTTGACTAGACTTTTAAGATACTTTTAAGATACATTTTTCATTGCTTTTACACATTTCTTTTTCTCGCCTCTGAACTAAAAGTATTTTCTCCAGGTCAGTTAGCCCACTGCAATAAAATGTATTTACAAGAATGAGAAGAGTGAAATGAAGTCTTTACATTTAAAATGTTTATTGGGACATTTAGTTTGTGTAGTCATTGTTTCAAGAATAAAGATCGCATTTTCTTTAGAACACATACGAGGGTCATCCAAAAAGTAAGTTTCCCTACCTTGTATTACCTGAAAAAAAAAAGATAAATTAAATCGGTAAAAAGACACATATTAGGCATACTCTAAGCTTTAAAACAAGTCCAGGTTTTGAAAATCGGTAAAAGGGTTCGCAAAAAAAGTTAATTTTACTCAGACAACCTCCTGTCGCCGCGTGCCCACCTCCCGGGTCAGGATGCGCGGAGAGTCGATTATTTCAGACTCGGGCATTCACCTCTAAACATCACATCAAAAAGGAATTTAAAAGTTTTCATTGAGTAAGTCTTACCTTTCTTTTTGAGGTAGGCTCCACATCTCTTTTGACATTTCTGGTATCATTAAAGTAGCTTTTTGATGCCTTCTGTGTAAAAGCTCTCGCCTTGGCTCCAAACCAGTCATCGACTGCGATCTGTACCTCTAAATCGGTTAGCAATCGCTTTTCATCGTAGAAGTTTTTCCGCTCGGGAACAGATGAAAGTTACATAACGCTAAGTTATGAGAGTATGGAGGATTGGGGAAAATATCTCGGTGCAAAGCAACTGATTTGGAAGTGCAGATCGCTGTCAATGACATGGTTTGGGAGCCAAGGCGAGAGCTTCTGCGCGGAGGGCATGAAGAAGCTGCTGTAACGATACCAAAAACGTCAAAACGATGTGGGGCCTACCTTAAAAAGAAAGGAAAGGTAAGGTAGTTGACAGTGATCTGCACTTCCAAATCAGTTGCTTTGCGCCAAGATATTTTCCCCAATCCTCCATACTCTCTTAACTTAGCGTTATGTGACTTTCATCTGTTCCCGAGCGGAAAAACTTCTACGATGAAAAGCGATTGCTAACCGATTCAGAGGTACAGATCGCAGTCGATGACTGGTTTGGAGCCAAGGCGAGAGCTTATACACAGAAGGCATCAAAAAGCTACTTTAATGATACCAGAAATGTCAAAAGAGATGTGGAGCCTACCTCAAAAAGAAAGGTAAGACTTACTCAATGAAAACTTTTAAATTCCTTTTTGATGTGATGTTTAGAGGCGAATGCCCGAGTCTGAAATAATCGACTCTCCGCGCATCCTGACCCGGAAGGTAGGCACGCGGCGACAGGAGGTTGTCTGAGTAAAATTAACTTTTTTTGCGAACCCTTTTACCGATTTTCAAAACCTGGACTTGTTTTAAAGCTTAGAGTATGCCTAATATGTGTCTTTTTACCGATTTAATTTATCTCTTTTTTTTCAGGTAATACAAGGTAGGGAAACTTACTTTTTGGATGACCCTCGTATTATTGGTTCAAGTTCAAAAATAAAAATATGCAGTTTTTGAAGGAAAACTGGCATTCATTTTTTTTTGAAATTTCTGAAGATTCTTCTTTGCCTTACAAAATATCAGTTTCCCCAGGGTCAAATAGCTCACGTTATCAGAAAAATTAAGCAAGTGACAATCTGGAAATCTCCAATGACAGCTTTAGGTGAGTGGAAAATTCGGTAGCCCTATTTTACACTGCTCATGAGATAAGTTTCAAAAATTACTTTTTACATTGGAATCAATGAAGCCAACGCACAGTTTTACCTTGATATCTCAAGATGAATAAAGGATTTTGGGATTCTAGTAAATACATAAGGATATTTTGAAAACGTTTCAGATAGTGAGAGTGGTGGTTTTTTTTCCTCCTTTCAAAAAACTAAGTAGTTGAGTAAAAATTAAATCACCACAATCAAGATTCATGACTTCATCTTTTATCAGCAATATAATATCTAAAATAGGTACCTCCATAATACTTACACCAGGGTCAGTCTTAATCTCAAAGTGATTATCACAGAGATGACACTTCATACGAAATTGATAGACTGGGGTGGAGTAATACATTCCAACTTTTTTCTTTTCAGCATTGTACCTGGACAAAGAGGAAAAATAATGATTGGAAATATTTCCTGGAGCTGTCAAATTATCCTAAAATAGCTCATGTGAGGGGCCTAGAGGACAAGGCATATAAATGTAGTTTTTGAGAAATTGAGTTATTAGTGATTTCAAGTAAATTAGTCTTAATACATATTCCGTGAAAAATTTGTTCCCAAATTCCAATTTTAAGCATCAAAGAGTCACTTTTAACTTTCTCTCCGCCATATGGATCCATGTAATTTTGAAACTTCTAGCACGTATTTTTCAAAATAGCAAATACTGCTTTTATACGCCTTGTCCACCATGCCCCTCATATTAAATATTTCTGAAACCTATTAAATTCAGCCATAAACATACTTTGAGGCTTGAGAAAGAGCCGGTTTCTGGTTCTTCAGTTTTAGAGACGAACATTTCAATTGATTCCGACAGATTTCTTAACTGTGATAATTACCATAAGGTGACTAGGATAAACGGTACAATTCCTCCAACTTAAGGTTAGCTAAAAAGGGGTTGTTCCAAAAATGACAATTTTGCCCCCCCCCCCCCTTCAGTTTTCTGCAACACTTAGCATATATGTTAGGATAGGTGTCTATAATGGCTAGGGCGAATTTCAGCCCCCGCGACTACTTACAGGGGGGCCAAGTTCCTATTTTTCCAAAACAAAAAACAGAAAGAAAATAAAGAAAAAAAAAATAAAATCCCCAGAACAGTTTGCCAGTAAGTGTGGCAGTTTGTGTTAGAAAAAGTAAAAATATATTATTTACAAGAATATTCATAATGTATTGATGTTTGTATCATGTATCCTGGTCACAATTCGATTTTTTAAGTTTGAAACTGTAACGTTTTGCCTGTGACAACCCTGGCTTCCCGACCCAAATTCAAAGTTTGACAGGTTGGCAGTTCCGACTACCTCAGCCAATAGCCTGGCGGAGGGAGTCGGAACTACAACGAGTCATTCTTCCCACTTGACTGGTGACTGTTCATGTCGCGTTCCCCGTACCCTTGCTTAAAATGTGAGTATTTTCAGTTGAAAGGCACTCCTCTTGAGGTGGTATTTGTTATTCCCCCTAGAATGTGAGTTGTGGTGGCTGGCTGGCCATAAAACCATCAAACTTCATCTTTTCTTCTCTCCTGAACTCATGGGTTAGACCAACGTCGATGGCCTACCCCACGCATTTCCCATTTTCTCCCTTTTTGTTTGTTGAGTCTCGTTACGCTTTAAAACCAGAAACAAAGTAGAGTTCTGAAAAAAAAATAGGGACTTTGCCAGCAACCCCCCTCCCCCCATGCTCCTTCCTCCTCACTATCTGCAGAAGTTAAAATTTTGCTTAGGCATTAAAGTGGGGACCTCATCTTCTTATGATTTATAATGACCCAAATTATTCCTGTAAATCTTCAAATTCTTGCTTAAAATGGCCGATTTCTTGCCTTCTTGGACAGATCTGAAGGAGAATGGAGCTTAGCTTAAATGAAGAATGAGACAAAATAATATAAAAGGAAGGATTCATGGACAGCATTCATTAGCTAGCATTCATATTCTCTGACATTCTAGGATTCTGAAAGTGAATTTTTCTCACCTAACACCCATTCCGATGTGATTTTTACATCCTTCACACCAAATGTTGTAAGGCATTTCAAATCTGATAATGATGATGCCCAAATGTATTTTCCTGGCTCTTTCTCGAAGTGCATGCGTGCCTCGAAATTTGTTGAGCCCCCCGACTGAGGGATCATAGTCGGGCGGGTAGTATTTGTTGGTTCCCTTACGTTCTCCCATTCTGCTACTTCAACCTGAAATGAAAAAAATTGATGATGTAAATATAAGACAATGATATTTACAACAGGGAGCATTACGAATCTCAAAATTATTTCTGTTCATATTATATAATTTACTTGACCTAAAAATTATGAATGAAATCCAAACGCTAGGAAAGGAGTTCTGTAGTGAAACTTTAAAACAATAAGGATGGATGTCAGCCATTGAAATAATATTGACAAGATTTTGTAATGCTCTGAATTTAGAAATTGATTGCACATAATTACATTGGATTCCATCCACATAAGGTGCTTGCAGGCCTATCTTATCAAGCTTCAAAATATGCTGGAGCCAATCAAGGCCTGCAGCCTGTCATAGCTGAAAACGACCAATTGATTACATGAGATCACTTAAGACGAACTTTCCTAAAATGCGCCATCTTCACACTCTAATCAAGTTCTTCAGGGTTTGGAACAGTTTTCCAGTTTGAGTTTGGAATAAGTGTACCTGAGCACATAGCCGCGATGATCGCCCAAAGTTTGTGAGGGAAAACCCAGAGCCGAGGGAATGGGTATTCATAAGTACATCGCAAACCGATTAGCGCCTAGTTCGCTCCTCGATTGTGAACTGTGTGCGGATGCAGAAAATGTATTGAATACGGGTTGAGGATAAGGAACTCTGCCTTACGCATAAGCTATTGTCCTTTTTTATCTAAAAATTCAAAATCTGCCGAGACCTTCTACCTAATCGATGCGATATATCTTATACCAGTTCGACCACATCACTTCAGCTTGACCAATCACCTTAGGGTCGTTACCATGGGAGCCTTCACATTCTGGGATGCAGCAAGCTAAGAAGCCTCCGCTCCTTCTCTTAGTGTACCATTCATAAGACTAAGAAGGCTGTAAACAAATATATTCAATTTGGAGCTACAGTCATTAATCAGAGAGAGAAATATGTAGGTACCCACTAAATTTTGCCAAAAAGAAAGTTCAACGGCATCAAATACAAATTTACTACGGGAGAAAAGGGGAGTTTAAAAATTGAGGCGGAAGATAGAATGCTATGGATCCACTTACTTCTTCACTAAACTTCCGAAGATCAGTGAGTTGGATGATTTTCAGAGTACGTAACAAAAAGCTAACTGGCCAACAGAGACAGTTTAGTTTCTAAAAGCCTGCAATGTAATAATTCGATACCATCAGAGTTTCTTGCCACAGAATACGATGAAACTTAGGAGTAGGACAATATATATACCTTTGGGACTGAAATTGATACAGATGTGTGAGGAAAGGAAAACCAAGGGAATCAGACAACAAAATAACACAAATTACCCAACCCAAGAACCCAACGTAACTGACATAATTGACATAACCCTCACCCAACCTTGCGCTTGAGTCATACTTGAGTGAGTAAACCCAAAGCATAGAATAATAAAGCTAACGCCTATAGAAGGGGTGCCACACACGGGAGGGATGAGGCGCCCAAAAGTGAGGCTCTGCTGCGCGCGCACGTCGCATGTTTGGATTGTAATTTCGCGGCAGATTCGAACCTAAGGGGCGAGTTCCATAATACATTCTTCTCAAATGCACAGTATTAAAGTAAAAAAAGTCCAGAGTTTTAATCACGATTACTTTAATTAAATTTAACCTCTCGTAAATCCATACGTAAAAAGGGTTTCCTTCTCCGTAAATTT